GCTCCCTGTGGGGTTCACCCAGCTGGGTGCTGGGTTCTTCCACCTGGTTGTGTCCATCGTGGTCTGCTCGGCAGTGGGTTTGCCTTCGGTATCGTGGTCCCTTTCCCCAGGCTCCCTAGGGTTGCCCTGCGACTGCTGCCCTGGGGCCGGCCTTGCTCGTCCAGTGCTCCTGCCTTTGAGCTCTGCTCTGGATCTTTCCTGGACCTTTCTCTTCTGCCTCTCTCCTGCCCCACTGTGTTTAGATGTTTGTTGATCTCAGCATATTTCCAGGTGCATTGTTCAGATGTGTTTCTCCTGCATATTTAACCCCTTTTAAGTTTATTAAACTTGTGAACGACCCAGCACACAGTCTGTTATTTGAGTATTCCACTCGAAAATAATACTTATTCTGTTGCATTTTTTCTTTTTTTTTAAAGTTTTTTTAATAGTTGTAGATGGACAGGATGCCTTTATTTTATTTGTTTATTTTTATGTGGTGCTGAGGATCAAACCCAGTGTCTGATGCATGCTAGGCAAACATTCTGCTGCTGAGCTATGACCCCAGACCTTCTTTTTTTTAATGGTAAAATAATGCTATAAAGAAAGCTCAAAAATTTTTGATAACTTTGTCCAAAATATTTGTTACATAGTGATGGATGAAGGTCTAATATTTCTAATATAAAAATCATTTTTAAAAATGAACAGGAAAAGCCAAGTTGGTGGCACACACCTGTAATCCCTTCCATTCTTGTGGGTGAACATGGAGTCACACTGGTCATTTATCCATATGTGACATAGGAAAGTTACGTCCAGTTCATTCCTCTGTCTTTCCTATTCCCATCCCTCCTTCCTTCCCTTCATTCCCCTTTGTCTAATCCAATGAACTTCTATTCTTCCCTGCCCCACCCCTTATTACGTGTTGGCAGCTGCACGTCAGAGAGAACAGTCGGCCTTTGGTTTTTGAGGACTGGCTTATTTCACTTAGCATGATTGTCTCCAGTTCCATCATTTACTGGCAAATGCCATGATTTCATTCTTCTTTATGGTTGAGTAATATTCCATTGTGTATATGTGCCACATGTTCTTTATCCATTCATCTGTTGAAGGGCACCTGGTTGGTTCCGTAGCTTAGCTATTGTGAATTGAGCTGCTGTGAACATTGATGTGGTTGTGTCACTGCAGTGTGCTGATTTTAAGTCCTTTGGGTATGTACCGAGGAGGGGGATAACTGGGTCAAATGGTGGTTCCATTCCAAGTTTTCTGAGGAATCTCCATACTGCTTTCCAGAGTGGTTGCACCAATTTGCAGTGCCAACAGCAATGTATGAGTGAACCATTTTCCCCACATCCTCACCACATTTATTGTTACTTGTATTCTTGATAGTTGCCATTCTGACTGGGGTGAGATGGAATCTCAGTGTGGTTTTAATTTGCATTTCTCCAGTTGTTAGAGATGTTGAACATTTTTTCACGTTTGTTGACCATTCGTATTTCTTCTGTGAAGTGTCTGTTCAGTGCCTTTGCCCCTTTATCGATTGGGTTATTTGGTTTTTTTGAAGTTGAGTTTTTTGAGTCTTTTTTTATATATATATCCTGAAGACTAATGCTCTATCTGAGGTACAGGTGGCAAAGATTTTCTCCCATTCCGCGGGCTCTTTCTTCACTGTCTTGATTGTCTCCTTTGCTGTGAAGGAGCTTTTAAGTTTGATACTATCCCATTTATTGATTCTTGGTTTTACTTCTTTGAGCTTTAGGAGTCTTGTTGACAGATTTGGTTCCTAAGCCGACATTTTGGGAAGTTGGGCTTACATTTTCTTCTAGTAGGCACAGGGTCTGCAGTCTAATGCCTGAGTCCTCCATCCACTTTGAGTTGAGTTCACGCGTGGTGAGAGCGAGGGGTTTAGTTTCACTTTATTATATGTGGGTTTCCAGTTTTCCCAGCACCATTTGTTGAAGAGGCTCTGTTCTCTCCAGTGACTACTTATGGCCCCTTTGTCCAGTGTCTTGCATTCCACTGGTCTCCGTTCTGTCTTGGTGCGGCCCCATGCTGTTTCTGTGGCTCTGTGGTGTAGTTTAAGGGTGTGCTACTGGGATGCCTCCTGCTTTGCTTTTCTCACTGAGGATTTCTCCTTATTTTTCCAAATGAATTTCATAACTGCTTTTTCTGTTTCCATGAAGACTATCATTGGAACCTTAAAAGGAATTAAGAATGAATTGGAAGGGTTCCTTCCTTTTGTATTTCATGGGATCATTGAGGAGATTGGTGTTAGTTTTCTTTGAAGGTCTGGTAGAGCTCAGCTGAGAATCTCTGTGTGGTCCTGGGCTTCTCTTCCTTGGCTTTTGATAGCATCTTTAATTTCATAGCTTGAAATTGATCTGTTTAAACTTTCTATGTCCTCCTGATTCAATTTGGTTAGGTCATATGTCTCTAGAAATTTGTGGATGTTTTCAAGGTTATCTATTGTATCAGAGTAGGAATTTTCAAAGTAGGTTTGGTTATCTTCTGTATTTTAGTAGTTTGTGTTGTGATATTTCCTTTTTCATTGTGAATTTTAGTAATTTGAGTTTTCTTTGTTAGCTTGGCTAAGGGTTTATTAATTTTATTTTATTGATTTGTTTTTCAAAGAACCAACATTTTGTTTTGTCGATTTTTTGGGATAATTTCTTTTGTTTCAATTTTATTGATTTCCGCTCTGATTTTATTTCCTGTCTTCTGCTTTTGGTGTTGATTCATTCTTCTTGTTCTAGGACTTTGAGATGTAATGATAGGTTATTTATTTGTTGACTTTCTATACTTTTAATAATAAGTGAGCTCAATGCAATGCATTTTCCTCTTTGCACTGCCTTCATAGTGTCCTAGAGTTCTTGATATGTTGTTTCAGTATTCTCATTTACCTCTCAGTATTTTTTTTTCATCCCAGATTTCTTCTGCTATCCATTGTTCATTCAATAGCATATTATTTAGTCTCCGGGTATTAAAGTAGCTTCTATTTTTTTGAACTTTTTTTTATTATAGATAGACACAATACCTTTATTTTATTTGTTTTTATTATGTGGTGCCAGGGATCGAACCCAGTGCTTCATGCATGCTAGGCGAACTCTCCATCACTGAGCCACAACCCCAGCCCCTCTATTTTTAGTTTCATTCTTGATTTCTAAATTCATTCTGTTATGATCTGATAGGATGCAAAGTATATCTATTTTTTTTATATTTGCTAAGAGTTGCTTTGTGGCCTGAGACGTGGTCTATTTTAGAGAAGGATCCGTAGCTGCTGAGAAGAAAATGCATGTCGTCATCCTGCCAGATCTTACCTGTCATTTTTCTCTGGCGTTCTTTAAAATTCTATCCTTATTCTCTGTGTTGAGCATTTTCGTGATAATGTGCCTTGGTGTGGGTCTGTTGCAGTTTTGTATATTTGAGGTCTTGTAAGCTTCCTGCATTTTATTTTCCACTTTATTCTTTAGGTTTGGGAAATTTTCTGATATTATTTCATTGAAAAGATTGTGCATTCCTTTTGTTTGTATCTCTGAATCTTCATCTCTCCCAATAAATCTTAAATATAGTCTTTTCAGGTTATCCCACATTTCTTGCAATTCTGTTTGTGGTCTCTTAACATCTTTTCTCCATGTTTAACTTTGTTTTCAAGATTATTTATTTTGCCTTCATTGCCTGAAACTCTAAGTGGTCTAGTCTGTTGGTGATGATTTCAATTGAAATTTTAATTTGATTTATTGATTTCCTTCATTTCAAAGATTTGTATGCTTTTCTTTTTTCAGAGTCTCTCTTTATTGAAGTGATATTTCACTTCCTGTATTTTCTTTCTGATTTCACTCCTTATACTGGCTTTTACTTCGCACATCGTTTTAACTATGTACATTATAAACTCTTTCTTGGATATTTCTTCCACTCTGGTGTTGTTGGATTCTGTTATTGGAGTACCTTGGTCTGTTTGCGATGATTGACCCCTTGCCTTTTCATGTTGTTTGTGTGTCTACCCATCTAGCAGTATAGATGTGAGGAGTAGAGTTTTTTTTTTTTTTTAATTTATTTTTTAGTTGTAGATGGACACAATGTCTTTATTTTTATTTGGTGCTCAGGATTGAACCCAGTGCCTTGCATGTGTCATGTGTGAGGCAAGTGCTGTACCACTGAGCTATAACCCCAGCCCCCCTGTTTTTTTTTAATGTATTTTTTAGTTGTAGATGGACACAGTATCTTTATTTATTTTTATGTTTTTTTTTTAATTTATTGGCAGTAGAGTTTTTATCCTGTAGACTTACAGTGTCCCTGAAGGTTTCCAATACCTCAGGCTGAGAAGCTACCTGTCTGCTTTCTCGGTTTCACTCCACGTAGCAGCCAGGAAAGTGACCTCTATTCTGCCATCTTGAAAACCAGAACAGTGTTTCTTAAGAAGGATGGAGAACACCACGGAGCTTTTTAGCCTGCATGGGTTATATGTCTTGATATTTATCTTATTAGAAATTAAAATTAAAATTAGAATTATTATTTCACTTAAAACAGCAGTAAGCTCGTTACATGTTGAGATGAATCACCATACTTCTGCAAAAGTAATTTCCAAAACAGCCACCTTGAGGGAGAAGAAGGGGCTCATTCCGTGCTTTGACGGTCTCTTTCATGGCTGACTGATGAAAGCGTCTGGGTCACCTGCATTCACAGTGACTTCAGGTGCATGTGACAGGAGAGAAAGATAAGCAAATGGCACCTTGACATCACCATGGCGTGTTCTTAGCCTTAGTGCCCTGAAAGGCCCTCAGACACTCCAGGGTCCCTGGACCAGTTTGAAAACTGCTACAAGGAATAGCGTTCAGTACATATGATTCAGTCAGTGCTTATGGGGTGAATTGGCCAATTCCAGAACGTTGTCTGCTGGGCTGCAGACTGGAGATCATCTGTTGGCTGTGTGAGTTCTGGTGCCTCCAAGAGGCTTGTCCTTGGCCTGCGGCTAGGCGTGTGTGTGTGACAGGTCTTGCCTGAGGCCCTCTCTGCTTTTCCTGTGACAGGTGTCCCTGTGCACAGCAGAGTGTCCTCCAAGATCCAGCAGCTTCTGAACACCCTGAAGAGGCCCAAGCGCCCTCCCCTGAAGGAGTTCTTCGTGGACGATTTTGAGGAGCTTTTGGAAGGTAGAGTCCTCTGATCTGAGCCCTGTGTGTGTGTGCCATCTGGAGGCACAGGTGGTGGTGCACAGACGTGAGTTCCTGTGCCACGCCATGTCAGACCCTTTCTCTTTGTGTCCAGACTCTGGTGAGCATGTGCAGCCGTGAGCTTAGAACCACACCTGCCTGCACATGGTCAGGGTTAGAGAGACTTTGCAATCCCCACGCCCAGTCCAGGGTTAGGACAACACTGCTAAGGTTTCTTCTTTACACTTTTAGTTAAACTCTAAATGTGAAATACTTGTCTTCTTATGGTTCTAAAGTACTGAGTTTTTAGCACATGTTCAAGTCCTTTTCAGAATTTTAACCTCTCATTTATGAATGGAATATATATTTAAAAACAAAGAACATACTGAGCATGGTGGCACATGCCCATAATCCCAGTGACTCTGGAGGCTATGGCAGGAGGATTGCAAGTTTGAGGCCAGCCTCAGTAACTTGGCAATACCCTGTCTCAAAATAAAAAATAAAGAGGGCTGGGGATGTAGCTCAGTGTTAGAGTGCCTCTGAGTTCAATCCCCAGTACTGCAAAAGAAGAATATAGATTTATTTTAAAAAAGAAGAACTAAGAAGAAGCAGAAAGAGGCCCACACCCTTAGAAGGGCACAGAGATAAAGCCTAGTGTTGGTGTTGAGTGTTTTGTGACCCCTGGGCGTGCCTGCCCTCAGTGGCAGGCCAGTGTGGGGCCTGGCTTGTCCTTCATGCTTAGACAGGTCCAGAGCTCCACCGTGTGCTTACAGCGCTGAGCTTCTCAGCACCTTGGAGAGCAGTCCTTGTTAACAGTGGGGTCTTTGGGGCCACAGGAAAATCAGTAGTGGGAATTGGTGGTGGAAATCAGTGAGGTGACTGTCCTTGTTAACAGTGGGGTCTTTGGGGCCACAGGAAAATCAGTAGTGGGAATTGGTGGTGGAAATCAGTGAGGTGACCGTCCCGGCAGCTCCTGGCCTCAAGTCCTGTTCACTTTGGTCCTGGGTGGGCCGGTTGCTCAGACCTCCTCCCAGGCTCTGGGGCCTGCAGTGCTGCACTGGGGTGGCAGGCGTCAGGTGCCACAGTTATCCCCAAGGTGCAAGTAGATGTACCCTCCTGAGCCACCTTCACTGTCTGTGGCTGAACTTTCCTGGAGGGTGAAAGCCACACCATCTACGACTGACTCTCCTTTATGTGACTGTGGTAATGACGAAGGTCTAAACCACTTGTGTCAGGCTTTTTACAGTGGTGAGTGCGGGGCCTCCACAGTGCTGACGTCTGAACTCCGGCTCTGCTTACAGTTCAGCAGCCAGATCCCAATCAGCCGAAGCCTGAGGGAGAGGAGGTGGAGGTGCTGAGAGGGGAGCCCCTGGCCACAGGGGTGCCCTGGCCACCGTCTCTGCTAGCTGCCCTTCAGCGATGGGGCACAGTGCAGCCCAAGGCCCCCTGCCTGACTGCCCTGGACACAGCAGGGAAGGCCATCCACACCCTCACCTACGGCAAGTACTCAGGAGGGTGGTCGCACTCTGGCGGGGGGCTGGGGGGCCACAGTGCTTACTGTGTAGCCTGCACACACCTGTTGACCCGCCACATCAGCAGCAGTTCCTGAGGCGCCGCACACCTGCCGTGCTGCCTGGGTGTGCGCGGCCAACTGTATTCTGAGCAGCGGGTACGCTGGCGCAGCTTTAGCCACGCAGCGCCTCTGTGCTTGGCGTGTTTGGGTTCCGCACTACATCTGCTGTCACACAGCTGACGGTGCAGGTACAGCTCGGTGCCTTGGCAGAGTGAATGCTCTTCTGTGAGCTTTAGCTGGCCAGGTCCAGGCCTCCGTGGCCCTCCCAGCACTGATGTCCTCCATACAGAGGGGAGCCCGCCCAGCTACTCAGGCTGCAGGCTCTCTGTGGCCGAGACGTTCATAGAAGCAGGATTTTATTTTATTCATTATTGTTTATTTATTTATTTATTTTAATTTTTTTTTTTTTTTTAGTTGTAGATGGACACAATACCTTTATTTTATCTACTTATTTTTATGCGATGCTAAGGCTCGAACCCAGTGCCTCACACATGCCAGGCAAGTGCCCTCCCACTGAGCCACAGCCCAGCCCAGAAGCAGGATTTGATGAAAGCTGCTCTTTGGTGTCGGATGGCTGGCCTTGTGCCAGTCTCCGCCATGCGGTGCGCAGCTGTGTTGACGCTCATTGATGGGTGTTGTGTGCTCAGTGCGTGTCCCATAGCTGTCCTTGCTCTCCCAGTGGTTGTCCCAGCTTGGGACTGCCGTTCCAGAGGCCATTGTGAACACTCTTTTCTCTCGTCTGCAGTCCTGGGTGAGAGCCTGGGGGGGCGTTGAAGGTAAGGGATCCCAGGAGATGTGTGGCCTTGGGACCTGCACTGCTTTTCCAGGGGGGTGGGAGCAGCACTCCTTCCCAGAGCAGCACGGAGAGCCCCTTGGGCTCCATCTCATGGCCTTGTGAGTTAGGTTCTGATCTGCCTTTGCTGGGGGCCGCCGGCACTGAAGGCCCTGTCCATGATCCTCCAAGTGTCAGCGTGGGGGCTTCTTTGTTTCAGCTGCAGCCTTTTGTCAGATACCTGCTTTGTGGCTGTCTCCTCTCAGCCTGAGGCTTGCCTTCTGGCCTTTTGGTGGCTTTGATGAGTGGAAGGCCTCCCTGCAGTCGATGTGTCTGTGCCTGCTTTGTTGAGGTGCAGTGGTAGGATCCCAGTGCTCTGCCTGTTCCTCAAGATTGCTGTGCTGTTGTTGACCCTTTGCATTTCCAAGTAAAGTAGAAACCAGTGGTCACTTTGCTAGGAGTTCTTGCTGGGATATTGGTTGGCACTACATTGAGTCTGTGGTTTGATTCAAAGAGAATTGATATTATCACAGTTCTGGAACCTTCTTGCCCATGAGTAGAATATTTCCCTCTTTGTAAAGGCTGCCTTAATTTCTCTCAGGATTATATTTATACTGCTGAGTACAGAATTCTTGAGCAGCTTTCTTTAGGTTTATTCCTGTTCTAAATGTATAATTAAAATTTCTCCACTGACTTGGTGACCCCAGCCTGTGGGTGCCGCTCACCCCTGAGGGGGCCTGGCTGTGCTCTGGAGGCCCCAGTCCCTGCTGATGGCCCTGGGCCCTGCGCCTGGCCTGAGGGTGGAGGACTGGGTCGGTCCGCACCACTCAGGGTTCCCCGTCTGGAGTCTGACTCTGGCTGTCTTGCTGCCCCTGACAAGTGATCTCTGTTTTGTGCAGCTGTAACTCCGCAGTGCCCCTCCTGTCTGATCCAGAGCCTTTTAGAATCACCCACAGGATCTCGTGTAGGTGTGGTCAACGGGCTTCTGTTGAGGAAAGAGCATAGAGGGACCCACTTACCAGTTACGCTGTTGGTGGACACCCGGGTGGCGTCCAGCGGTGGCCATTAGAAGTGGTGCTGTTGGCGGGTGCTGCTGTGGGCCCTCTGGCAGTGAGCAGGTGCCACTTTCCCAGGCAGGCCCTAGGGGTGGAAGAGCGAGGACTGGGGCCCACGTCCCTCAGCTTGCCCACCGCCACACCCACATGCTGTGGTGGGTGCTTAGTGCTCAGGCCCACTCTCCACCTGCGCTGTGAGAACTGGTGGTGTGGCCATGGCTCTGACGTGGCCTCCCGAGGGGTCGGTTGTTGAGGCCTTCTGCCCTCTGCCATGTACCCGTGTCCTCTGCATGGCTTCCCAGGTGTCTGCAGGACCTCTTCTGCACCCAGCAGGCTGCCGGCGTCCTTGCCACTGTGTGAGGGTCTGTGGGCAGAAGTTCCAGCCTCTTGCCTTCTTTGCCTTCAAGGTTCTTGCTTTCTGTGTTCTAGGAAGACTTCTTCCCTGGACTGTGGTCACAGAGTTGCTCTGTGAGCCTGGGGAAGTGCCCACTCTTTTGCCCTTCACATGGCGAACGTCCCTGCCCAGTGTCCCGTATGGGAGAGGTCCCGAGAAGGGTCAGCAGCTGGCCCCCTCTCTGCAGCAGCACCGGGCCCTCCTTCCAGGAGTCCTGCCTGTGAGCCTGTCTTAGCTTCTCTTCTTCTGTTGGCTGATGGCACCTGTGAGCCTTGGCCATGCTTTCTTGGTGCCCATGGCCTTATGATGAGACTCAGCCTCATGGAGAATGTTCGCTGCTTCTCCTCCAAGGGTGTCCCAGCTGTGCCAACCCCATGCATCCCAGGTTGTCTCAGAGGAAGCTTGCCAAGCGCCTCGGCATCCCTGCCAGTTTCTGCTGAGTTGCCTTGATCCGGCCCCAGGAGGACCAGTGCTTCTACAGTATGGAGTCTTCCGTTTCAGTAGCGTCTGAACACTCTCTGCAGGAGACTCTGTGGATTCTTGTGACACTTCGAGTTTTATGTATTTAGGGAGTGTGTTTTGATCTAATTGTAAATGTATCGTTATGTCTTAAAATTTACTGTTGTAGCATATTCAGGTGACACGGTGCAGCTGGGCGTGGTTGCGCCCACCTGTGATCCTAGTAGCTGGGCAGGCAGGAAGATTGCAGGTTCAAAGCCGGCCTCAGCAACTTAGTGAGGCTCTGTCCCTAAAAATATAAAGTATAAAATAAAAAGATCTGGGGACACAGCACAATGGCAGAAACACACTGTGGGCAATCCCCAATACCATTAAAGAATAAATATCATCCTGTGTACTGTCACGCAGGCAGCCTCGCCAGAGTCTTGTAAAAGATGGACAGGCACGGCATCCTCTCACTCACAAAGCATAGCTCTGTCCCCAGGTGCTTCCACACTGCCACTTCCCCCATCTGGCTGAGGCATTCTGCTCACGGCTGGGGCAGCTGCACTGGCCTCCCTTCTGCCCCCAGAGGGAAGGCTCCAGTGTCCGCCTCAGCTAGGGCATTCCCATGGGCTCAAGGTGACCAGCGTCAGATTAAGGAAGTATGTGTCCTTTCACACCTAGTTTAGGAAGGGTTTTGAAAAACATTTAAAATCACTTTTAAGTCATGAGGGATTATCGGTTTTCTCCCACCTGTCATCATTGTTAATGGTGCTGCGTTTCCATGAACCTCTGCATTTCTGGGTAGAACTAACTTGATCACAACATGTTATTCTTTTCATAGTTTTTATTGGTTTCTGTTTGGAGATGTTTATTATAACTGTTGACATCTTTTTTTTTTTTTAAAGAGAGAGAATTTTTCAATATTTATTTTTTAGTTCTCGGCGGACACAACATCTTTATTTTTATGTGGTGCTGAGAATTGAACCCAGCGCCCCGCGCATGCCAGGCGAGCGCGCTACCGCTTGAGCCACATCCCCAGCCCTATAAGTGTTGATATCTTGACCTTAACTTTAAAGTGGGCTTACTCTGTTTTGAGTTAAATGTTTGCTTTGTGGTGTCTTGGGGTCCACAGCCACTCCTGTCACTTTATGGTGCTTGGTCAGCACCACTGCTATGGGACTGAACACTGGACCACAGGGCGGGCTGTCCAACCCATGGTGTCCACCGAGCCTGAAGGCCCAGCCTGGGTGTTTTGTTCAGGAATGGCGGCTGTATCAGGGTTGGGAATGAATGTCTCCCATGCTCCTTCTGCTGAGCCCGCTTTCTTCCTGGGTGAGGCTGTTGTCAGCTCCCCAGGTTGGGCACTGCGTGAGGTAGCTGCTAGCCAGGAGGGACAGAGAGGTGGTGCCTAGCCGTGGGCCCCTCCAGCCACTGGAGAAAGCTCTGGCCCTTCAGGAAACATGTAGCGGCCACAGGAGGTGAGGGTGGATGTCACGGGTCACACTCAACGCTGTTGGCTGAGGGGGCAGTGTGAGTGGTGGCCTCTTCCCAGAACTCACAGACGTGCACATGTGCATGTGTGCTCCCATGTATGGCATCATGCATGCACAGCATGGCATGTTTTGCTGGCTTTGCTAGACTTTAATAAACTCCTGTTTTATGTTTGCATTAAGAAAAATAAATGTATAACTTGTTCTTGGGAGAAAACTGATGTTTGTTGCAGCATTATGTAGGGTGGCTGTCATCTGGAAACTGGATTTCCAGTCTTAGCTAATGGTATGTTGTTAATGGGGTATTGCAATTGCTGCATTGAAATGTTAACTATTAGGCTCCTTAAATATTACATTGCTTAGTATTTTTATTTTATTTTAGGCAAACTTTGGAGTCGGAGTTTAAAATTAGCTTATACTCTACTTAATAAACTGACTAGTAAGAATGAACCACTACTTAAACCTGGAGACAGAGTAAGTAACTAGAATGTAACTTTATTGGACTGAGCAAAAGCAGGCTTAAGCAGCCTGTTCTGTTGAAATTGTGTCTTGTCGGTTGGTTAGAATGAGTGTTAACCTGTGGGATTTAAAGTCAGCAATGGAAACATACCATGTGGACTGGTGTGCGATGCAGTGTCAAGTGGTCATTCCTCTCCTCCCTATCGCCCACCCACTGGTCTTCCAGCTCATGTTGGGCTTCATGTGTGTTGGCGTTGATAGGCCTTGACTTTGCAGGGCAGGGGTCCATGCTGACATTGACCTGTCCATGAAGTCCTGGATGCTTTATGTCATCTCCCCACAGGGCTGCCTTGGAAGCTAGCCCCCTAGTCCTGCACTGCCCAGATGGTTGTTTGAATTTAAATGAACCAACGTTAAGTTGAACTAAAGCACAGTCCCTCAGTTGCAGGAGCCATGTATTCAGGGCTCAGCAGCGACATGTGGGGGATGGTTGCTGTCCTGGGCAGAGTGGAGGTGTTTTCCATAGTCATACAGGGTTCTCTTGGACGGCACCGCCTCAGGCAGGCTGCACTGACCTGAGGACCCAGGCTTGTGGAAGGTCAGTGTGGACAGCAGTGTGTGTGTTGGAAATCAGCACGCTTACCAGAGAGGGGAGACCCCAGTGACAGGCCACCCACAGTGAGGTGGCATGTTAACTTGCCAGCCAGAAGCTTCTGCCTCACTCCAGAGAGAGGCTGAGGGTGAAGGAGAAGAGACAGATGGCATTGAAGATGGAGAGGGGAGCGAGGGAGAAAATCAGGCGCGGAAGCAGATTTCCTGAAGTTAGCATTCAAGAAAAGGATGTCAGCAGAAAAGACCAAGAGTTGGAAAGTAGGAGGAGCCAAGGGGCAGAATCAGAGACTTGGTGAAGGAGGTCCATGCCAGCTTAGCCCTGGGAGTGCAGAGGAGGGTGGGAGCAGAACACTGCAGGCAGTGCAGGGTGAGTCGCCGGCCCTACAGAGCATCGTGTTCCTCGTGAACACAGCTGACCACTCTGAAGTGTGTGACCACGGGGCAGAAGGCGCCTCAGAGCCACGCACATGGGGAGCACCAGCAGTCACAGTGTGCGGGACTCCTCAGTAGAACCCTGCAGGACAGAGGAGGGTGCCTCAGACACTCAGAGGGGGTGGACCTGTTTCCACCTGGCAAATACAGTGCGTAACTCAGACCTGGCTCAGAAGCCCCTTTCCTGGCAAGTTCCTAGGGGATGTGTTACAGTGAGTGAAGGGGTCCCAACAGGAGAGTCACACAGAGGTCCCAGGACAGCCAAGCTACAGCCCTGGCAGGGGGACCAAGGCCAGAGTCGGATGCAGTGTCCTGAGGTGAGTGAAGCGTGGGGTCACGTGACTGGCTGGTTATTGGGAACAGGACCCTGAATGGCACTTGGCTCATCGGATGGGGTGTCTTAGGGCTGTCATCCAGCGTCCATGGAACAGATGGAAGAGGGGTGCTGTCCCAGCAGGAGGGAGACCCTTGTGGCACCACTCTTAGGGGTGCTGTGTTCAGGCAAGGTGTGTGTGGTGCTTCAGGACAGCCTGCAAGACCCTGACTCCCCCTGACTCCCTGAGCCTAGGGATTGCAGCTCATTTTCTTTCAGGGACAAAGATTTGCAGATGGTTTCTCCACTTGCAAGAGAAGGTTGCCCTTAGGTTAATAAAAAGGTACACTCAGCAAGCAGGTTAATGTTGGAGATCGGTGGCCCACAGACTGCCAGCTGATGCCCTTCACAGATGGTGACGACACTCCTTCACCAAAGACACTCTGGAAGGATGTTTTCCCTGACAGCCATCTGTCTCAGGGTGTGGGTCACATCTCTGGGCAACTGTTAACACCAGCCCTCAAAGGAGAGTTTATCCTTCCCCACGAATGGACTTGCTGGCAGCTTTGCAGAGCCTAGGTCCAGAGTGGGTTCTGCCCATCTTCCCGGGGGCCCTGTGCTGAGTCTGCCTGTTTAAGGACTGTTATGACCTACTGTGGCAGAATCAGGGCTTATGGAAACGTTTTTCCATATGTAGCTTCTAATTTGAGTAGATACAGTTTAAAAAAAAAAAAAAAAAAACCTGGGATGAAAGCAGGAATACAAAATGTTTCCCTAAAATAACAGGATAGTTTAAAATGTAAAATGTAGAAATGTAAACCCAGTATTTAAAAGCATGAGAGTGAACAACAAAGGACAGATCTAGAATATTTTAAATGTGTTGTTTTAGTAGGTGACCGAGGACAGGGCATGGTGCTACTGTTTTTCATTGGTCATTTTAGACCATTTTAATGAATTTTGATACAAATTAAAATGCAAGGTGAATGAGGGAGAGCTGGTAATTCACAGGGGCAGCACCCTGTCTAGGTGGGAGTGGGAGGGTGCCCAGGTGGGAGCGAGAGGGTGCCCAGGCAGGAGCAGGTGCCCAGGCAGGAATAGGTGTCCAGATGGGAGCAGGAGGGTGCCCAGGCAGGAGTAGGTGCCCAGGCGGGAGTTGGAGGGTGCCCAGGTAGGAGCAGGAGGGTGCCTAGGCAGGAGGAGGTGCTCAGGTGGGAGCAGGAAGGTGCCCAGGCAGAAGTAGGTGCCCAGGTGGGAGTGGGAGGGTGCCAGGGTGGGAGTGGGAAGGTGCACAAGTGGGAACAGGTGCCCAGGTGGGAGTGGGAGGGTGCCCAGGTGGGAGTGGGAGGGTACCCATGTGGGAGCAGGTGCCCAGGTGGGAGTAGGACAGTGCCCTGGGGCCTGCCGTGTCCCTTCAGGTAGCTCTTGAGTGAAGACTGCTCAGTGACAGCACGCTGTTAGGACGGTTGGCTTTGGAAATTGTTGTTTTAGATATAACTTGATTCAGGTGGTAGTCAGCATGGACAGGCCCTGTCCAGCAAGAGCTGGACAGGCTTGGCTTGAGGAGTAAAGACGGCCCTAACCCACAAGCCAGTCATTCAGAGTCATGTGAACCAATCCCAAGTTGAGGTTTGGAAAGGTGTGAGAGTCCGGTTGTCTGAGCCTCGTCTGCCGTCGGAGCCTGCGTTGGAATGTCCTCCTGCCAAGGAGTCCTCAGGTTTCCCTTGTACTGTTGCAGGTGGCGCTCGTGTTTCCCAACAGTGACCCCGTGATGTTCATGGTCGCGTTTTATGGGTGTCTCCTGGCAGAGCTGGTTCCGGTCCCCATAGAAGTGCCATTGACAAGAAAGGTAGCAAGCCTGGGCTGGGCGTTCTGCACTTGGTGCACGGGGGGGCCAGGCCTGGCTTCTCTTCAGCTCTGGCATGAGCTGGTGTGTGCCCTGCCTTGAGGAAGGTGGCCCCAGGCCAGCTGGCCAGACTTCAGCATGAAGTCAGGTGCCGTCTGTCCCCGGGCTGAGGTGGGGATTGCTGCCCTGCTGGGGGAGCCTCCTGGTCACCCGTTGAACTTCCCAGAAGGAGCGATGGGCATTTTCTCCTCCAGTGAACAGAACGTGATTCTACAAGGCTCTGTTAGGCCTTTGCTCAAAACCAGGTGGTAGTTAGTGTTGAATAAACAAGATAAAAGGTCCCATGTGTTTCTCTTCTTGTCACTGATATCTTGACATAGGGAGCATGCTCCACCATGTGAGATGTAAACATTGGGAATCTCACTGTAGAAAACACCACTTGGGGGCAGACTGGGCCTGTGTTTTAGAAAGTCCGATTCCTGCACCTGACTCAGGCAGCCTTGAGCGAGCACGGGAGCCACAGCCCTGGTCAGGAGTACCACGGTGAGGCTTGCACACGGAGCCAGAGTACCCTAAAGGAAGCCATAATCAGGTATTAGAACAAAATGACTCCTAGGAAAGAAACTGGAGATGGGTTAAACTTAGGTGAAGAGAAGCGCACGCCGTGCAGCAGGATGTGCACAGGTGGTGAGAGCCGCAGCCAGGGCTTTCTTGTGGCTTAGCTCATGCTGATAAGGCCAGCCTCCCCGAGTCAGCTCGTAAATTTTAATCATGATGCGACAGAAATTTTAATGCTGTTATTTTTAGAGCTTATTAAAATGCGTTTAAATGTCATTTGCAAGAGTGAACTTCTTAGCCCTTTATCCAGAACCTTATTTTACTGCAAAACAAATTTAAAAAATGCATTTTAAATTTAAAAACGATTCTCTTATTTTTATGTGCCATTTCCCTGAAAATATAATAACCTGCCAGTGATAGGACTGAATTGTTCTAGAAGTTTCCTGAGGTTGGAAACAGCTCTGCTCTCTGTGAGAGCTGGAGCACTAATGGCCAGTGCTGTGGCTCTGCCGGTGCCCACTTGCCCTCTGTTGCCTGTCCTCTGCAGGATGCAGGCAGCCAGCAGGTTGGGTTTCTGCTGGGCAGCTGTGGTGTCACCCTGGCCCTGACTACAGATGCGTGTCAGAAGGGCCTGCCCAAGTCACAGACGGGAGAGGTGGTGACTTTCAAAGGTGAGCCTCCAGGGTGTGAGGAGTGGGCTCAGCTAGCACGGTGCCGCTGGGCCTGCTGCTCCAGGAAGTACACTCAGTGAGTCTCCGTTTTTGTCTGCTTCAGTGTCTCTACCCCTTCTGTCCACGGTTGTGGCCACTGGCTAGATTTACCTACTTAAATGAAGCAAAATGAAGTGAGACTAAACTTGGCTAATGGCCGTGTGTTGGATGCGTGTTGAACACAGGCTCCTGTTGTGGGGAGCAGGGCCCTCCAACTCCAGCGCAGTGTACCTGTCTGTGTCACAGGCTGGCCCCCCCTCGCCTGGCTGGTGATTGATGGGAAGCATTTGGCCAAACCCCCCAAGGACTGGCTCCCTCTGGCTCAGGACACCGGGGCTGGGACTGCCTACATCGAGGTGAGTGAGCCCCCCACGTGTGTCCCCATGGGCTAGCTGCTATGTGTCATGACCTCGGGTCGAAGTTCCCCTTAGGTGTGGTCTCTGTCCTGGAAAGAGGAAGTGTCCTGCAGGACCTTGTGCAGACCTTAGGTTCTATCCTGGGCACCTGCTGGGTTCCTGGAGACTGGCCTGATGCGTGAAGAGCTTCAGGGTGGCCAGTGAGGGGAGCCCTGCCACTGCCCCGGTGCCCCATCAGCCTGCTCACACAGTCTCCGGGATGCCACATGACGCTCTTTCTCCTTGAAACCTTTCAGTATAAGACCAGCAAAGAAGGCAGCACCGTGGGGGTCACGGTGTCCCACACGTCCCTGCTGGCACAGTGCCGGGCTCTGACCCAGGCCTGCGGGTACTCAGAAGGTAAGGGCGCACGTGGCAGCATGGAAGCCCTTCCACCCCACGCAGTCCTAAGCACCCATCTTGCCTGAGATTGTCCCTGCAGTGTGGCGTCCAGCCTGGAGGCCTGTGCCCTTTCCTCCAGCCGCCACGTGGGCAGCCGTGCTGGCAACATGAGACCAGACATGTTGCAGACCTGGTGACCCCTCAGGGCCATTTCGGCCAGTGCACAGGTATTGACTTAGAGGCTGCACACAGGGGAGTTGTGTGTCTGTGATGGGCTGCCTCTGAGACGGGCAGAGCTCTTGGTGAGACGTGCTTTTGCCAGATGCCCTCTCACATCTGCTGTCCTGCAGGTAAATACTTGGGTGGGTCTTTGTGATCATAGGTTACCTCTTGGGAAAGGACAGGCAGCTCCCAGTTTTACTGTTGAATATCAGGTATTTAGCCTAGAGAAATATTGTAAATTGATTTTTAAATCAATGTTTTGTATTGATAGATAATTGGTATTTATAGGGTCCAATGTGAGAAATGTTTTTAGGACCTTCCAAGTGGGCCCAGGTAGTTTTCTTTCATAGTAAATGCTCGAATAAAACCTGGAAGTAACATCAAATATCATGCTCAAATGTCTAGAATACAGGTGTTTAAAGCAAGGGGCAGCATGTGGACATAGCTCAAGCTTCAGTGGAGACTTGGGAGAGGTTCTGGGTGTTTTCCAGGGGTCTCTTCCTCTTGGGACCCAGAGCTGGCCTCATGTGTGCCACCTGTGACATGACCTTGTGCTGCTGCAGGCATCACGGTTCAGAACAGCAGCTTTACCGCACTCAGGGTGACCCTCCTGTCCCTGGTTCTCCCAGCATCTGCTTTGAGCTCCTGGGTAGCCCTGGCCTTTGGACCCCAGGGTCTGTCCTCTGCCCCCTGAGAGGTGGCATCCAGAGGCCTTGGCCTGGTTTCCTCCCCTGGAGAAGATGAAGGGTAGCTTCTGGAAGGCGGCTGAAGCCACCAGCTCTTCAGGAGGGGGCATGGGACTATGGCCTCTGGATGGAGAGCTGGGGATCTGTGTCGGTGCGACACCTCACCTCTTGACTCTGAGGAGTGTCCACTCGGGGTGTCTGGTGAAGCAGGTGGCCCCTGTCCTGCAACTTTTTCAGGACCTGACTTCCCTGTCTTTAGATCTGTGATCAGCAAGGTTCTCCAGTTCAGAGCTGTGTGGTTCCGGGAATCTGACAGACCACCACTGTCACCACTGGTTGGTTAGCGCATTGTGTCTGAAAATGCCATTCTGGTCCTTAAGCTCAGTCGTGTTGGTGGTGTACGCACCTTGGAATTTCTCTAGCACACACACAGCACAGCTGGTTACGGTGGTGCACACCTGTCATCCAGCAACTCAGGAGGCTGAGGCGTGGCGATCACATGTGTGAGGCAGGCTGGGCAACTTAGCAAGGACCTGTCTCAAAAAATGTAAAGGGCTGGGGTGTAGCCCAGAGGTAAAGCAAGAGAGCTCCTGGCCTTTTGGTTCAATCCCCAGTACCAAAAGAGAGAAAAAGGAACACAGCTGCTGGTTGTTAACCCCTTGTGCGCTTTCAGCTGAAACGCTAACAAACGTGCTGGACTTCAAGAGGGATGCTGGTCTGTGGCACGGCGTGTTGACGGTGAGTGCTGTTGGCTGTCCTGTCTTGTTCCAAGAGATGTGCTGGGCCCTGAGGGAGTGGGGTGAGGATGCGCTGTTCTGTTGGCTTCTGGCAGGGCTGTGCTGCTCACCCAGTGGGTCTGTTTTTCTTGCAGAGCGTCATGAACAGGATGCATGTGGTCAGCATCCCGTACGCGCTCATGAAAGCCAACCCACTCTCCTGGATCCAGAAAGTGTGCTCCTACAAAGGTACAGCACCATGCTGCGCGCCACCCTCTTGGACGTCTCTGAACTGCGTTTGTGGATTACAAACAATAAAGCCAGAAAGTAGGACCATGGGTGCAGGTGGCCCTTGGCTGAGCAGGTCAGCCTGTGCAAGGCAGCAGCCATTTGGAAAGGAGCAACTGAGCTTAGTATTTGAATGCTCTTAATCTGAATTTAGGGTTTTTGAAGTGACCAGTGACAAAGCTTTGATAGGTGGAATGACTTGTGGTGAGATGGGGCTACCAGCAGGGCCCTGTTTCCCCGACCCCAGTGGTCAGTGTGCCTCCAGGATGGAGGAGGCCGTGGCACAGGTTGCTGGCTCGGCTCGGACCTCCCCTGTGTGCCTGGTAGAGCCGCATGCCTGAGGCCCAGACTCTCCTGGGCACTGTGTTGCCCTGTCCTGCCTCTGGTAGCAAAGTATGCTGTGGGGTATGTTCCGAGCAGTGTCTGACCGCAGCTGTCTGTTCATCCAGCTTTACTGAGGGAACTGAAGCCTGCAGGAAGGGGTGGAGTCAGAGCCTAGCCAGGCTTCCCTCTCCTCTGTACCTGGAGGCTAGCCAACCTGGCAGGGCAGGCAGCACTGCGATGCAGACAGTGGCTGTCATCAACCAGGGCTAGTAACTCGGGAGAGACGTATGAGGCCACACAGGCAAGTGTGTTTAGAGCAAGGTGGAGCTCCAGACCACAGTGAAGTAGAGGTGGCTCTGAGTCTGTCACCTCAGATGGCATCTCAGAGTTGACTTCTGAGGAGAAGGTGTGGGCAGGTCAGGCAGCTGTGAGAGAAAGCTGCAGGCCGCACAGGGGCTGGACGCAGGCCCCGGCCCCCTGGGGCCTGCCTCTGCATGGGTGGAGGAGATGAGCCAGAGGAGGAGGCTGAGCCCTGCAGCACGTGCTCTCTCTCTCTGCAGCCCGGGCTGCGCTGGTGAAGTCCCGCGACATGCACTGGTCTCTGCTGGCTCAGCGAGGGCAGAGGGATGTCAGCCTCAGCTCACTGCGGATGCTGATTGTGGCCGATGGTGCCAACCCATGTGAGTAGGCCAGCCCTCAGTGTCCCCTTCCGCAGACCTGGGCTCTCCAGGGAGTCTGGATACCCTCTAGAAGTAGAATCTGTGGAGAAACAAAATTAAGCCCCTTTCATGTCAGTGTCAAGTAAAACACAAACGTCGTAGGATGTGCCTGGCACCTGTGCTTACTGCCGCTGCACTGCACGTGTCATGCCTGTTGGTTACGGTGCTGACTTTAAAAGCAGTTTTAACCATCCACAGAATGCAACTTGACGTGCCGTCTTTCTTTTTTTGGTACTGGGGGTTGAACTCAGGGGCACTTGACCACTGAGCCACACCCCAGCCCTGTTTTGTATTTTATTTAGAGACAGGCTCTCACTGAGTTGCTTAGCACCTTGCTTTTGCTGAGGCTGGCTTTGACCTCGAGAGTCTCTGGGATTGTCATGTCGTCTTTCTTAAGAGAGCACCAGATTGTGCAGGCAACAGGGTCCTCTCTTCCTTGGCCCATTCCCCACTGCTCTGGCTCCTGGCCCAGCTTCTCTAGCTGGGGTGGCTCTTCTTTCTGTGTGCAGGCCTGTCCCGCCCCACATTGCCCCAGACGGAGATCCCGTGGCTGTGGTCCGAGCCCTCGGACCTTCCTGTGCACAGTGGTGGACTGCAGAGGCTGCCGGGGCTCTGGAGCAGGCTCAGGCGGCCCTTGTGGGGCAGGGCTGTTGTGTGGCCTGTGCCTGCTGACCAGGTGGCAGAAGTTTCTTGTTGACTGAACTTGTATCAGCCAATGTCTCCGAGTCCCCTGAGGTAGAAGAGGTTTGCAGTGAATCCGTGGGTGGTCACAAGGCCATGCTGACTCAAGCCCTGAGCAGGCAGGAGCTGACGTCACACATCACCAGCACCCACTCGTAAGGCCTGCCATCCCTGGCTGTGACAGGACCCTCCTAAGAAGAGGAAAAGCCAAGGGCTAGGGCGCAGAGGTAGTCCTGCTGCCAGCATGCAGACTGCACAGCTCTGGCTCCTCCAGGAGCTGGGTGCGCCCGGCATGGTCTTGGTGCGGCAGAATGTTTGGGCCACAGGCATCCCTCAGCTGACTCTGTTGGCAAAGCCTCTAAGGAGCACAAGGCTGGGGAAAGCCTCTGACTTGCTACAACTGGAAGTGTTTCATGTGCCCCCTGCACACAGCCCACCTTGCAGGCAGGCTGCCCTGAGTTGTGGTAGTGACCTTTCCTAGCAGGGCTGTGTGCTCAGGGGGACCTGGCTGGCAGGTGCATCTGCCAGGCCTGTGGCCTAGAGTCTTACCATCCCCCGGTGCCTTCACATCATGCCATTGCTCCCCAGGGTCCATATCCTCCTGCGATGCCTTCCTCAACGTCTTCCAGTCCCGAGGCTTGAGGCCAGAGGCCATCTGCCCCTGTGCCGGTTCTCCTGAGGCACTGACGGTCGCCATCCGCAGGTAAGCCCATCCCGAAACCTTCCACAGTAGGGGTCTGTCCTGACGTCCTGGCATCTCAGGGTTCCAGGCTGCTGTGCAGCAGTGCCGCTTGGGCCCAGCCCCTTGCAGCCCAGACATATGCTGGGCATGGGAAGGTGGCTCCCTCAGCTGTGTGGGACCCTGCGGCGTCGGGCATGTGCTTTCCTAAGTGCTTCCTCCCCAGGCAGTCTTGCCATCGCATCCTTGGCCTCAGTGAACATACTCCTGATGAGCTGTCCCTTGTTCCCAACTGGCCAAGGATGGGCCTGGAGAGGTGCCAGCCCCTGACCCTCATGGGTCCCAGCACCACCTGGTTGTTGCCATGGTAGTCTGTGGCAGCATGGTCAGTGGTGCTGGGAGGCCACAGACACCTGAGCTCCTGGCTCTGGGCTCCTCCGGTGTCCCGTGCACATGCCACTTTGCTCCTCCTCTCATGCCCAACCTGCCCAGCAGCTCCTGTGGCCTGCAGGCCGTTACCCACAGCTGAGGGTCTTCATTAGCTTCCTGCTCCAGCACTGTCCTTGCAGAATTACTTCAGTGCAGGCACAGGTGCTCACACATACCGCCTGTGGAGTAGCCTGCGTCCTAAGGTAGCATTAGAAACCCCTTTGCCCTTTACATTGAATCACCCCTCATTCCTTTGTTCTGGGGTGACTTGTTTCTGTTGGTATATATACACAGTGGAACATTGCTCAGCGTTAAGAGAATAAAATCATGGCACTTGCAGGTAAATGGATGAGTTGGAGAGTATCAGGCTAAGTGAAGAAGCCAAACCCCCAAAACCAAAGGCCGAGTGTTTTCTTTGATATGAGGATGTTGACTCATAATGGCGATGGGGGGGCATGGGAGGAACAGAGGGACTCTAGATTGGGCAAAGGGAACGGACGGGATGGGAGGGGGCGCGGGGGTAGGAAAGACGGTGGAATGAGTCAGACATCATTACCCCAAGTCCATGTATGAAGACACGAATGGTGTGAAAATACTCTGTGTACAACCAGAGACTTGGAAAATTGTGCTCTGTGTGTGCAGTGTGAAGTGAATTGCATTCTGCCCTCATATATAACAAACTAGAATAAATAAATGATTAAAAAAAGAAAAAAGAAGTGCCTTTGCCCTTCACACTGGATCCCCCTCGTTCCTTTGTTCTGGAGACCTGTTTCTCTTGAGCTTGTCATCTTTCCTCCCTGAGCAAGTGCTGTGCTGGGTTCCTCAGGGCTCTGGTCAGGCTCTGCCCAGCTGGTGGCTCACAGTGGCTGGGATCTCCTGGTGCTCCTGTGGGCAGGCTGTGGGCCCCTCTGCTCCGCCTCTGTGCTGTGTGGGGAGAGGGTGGCGGCTCTGCGGTATGCAGGCTCAGGCCACCTCTTGGCTCTTCTTGGCCCCCTCAAGCGCCCTCATGCATATGGCCTCAGCCTCTGTGAGCGGACTCCAGCAAGCATCCTGAGATCACCCACGTGGAAGCCGAGTCACCTTTTTTTTTTAAATTGTCAGTAGACCTTTATTTAATTAATTTATTTGCGTATTTATACGTGTTGCTGAGGATCAAACCCAGGGCCTCACACATGCTAGGCAAGCACTTTACCACTGAGCTACAGCCCCAGCCCCCTGAGTCACCTTTATGTCCTCCCTGGGAAGTCACGGTGCCATTTCTCTGGGATGGAGGCGCATCAGGGCTCCGCTGTCCCAGGAGTTTTGAAACAGTCTGATGGTCTCTGGCACCGAGCAGCTGCTTTGCTGTGGTCTGGGGCTGCTGGCCAGGCAGGTGCCCTCCCTGAGCCAGCCTGCTGGTGCTCTTATTTCCAGGCCGCCTGACCTGGGGGGACCTCCTCCAAGGAAAGCTGTGCTGTCCATGCATGGCCTGAGCTACGGCGTGGTCAGAGTTGACACTGAGGAGAAGCTGTCTGTCCTCACTGTCCAGGACGTGGGCCAGGTGATGCCTGGAGGTAAGGCCACCAGAGCAGCTGCCCGCTGCAGCCGACACAGGCTGCCTGGGCGGTGCTCTGGAAGCATGTCCACGTCCAGGATGCTCAGAACTGCTTTCCATCTGTACAGTGCTTTTTGACCTCTCCCTCCCTTTCTGTTAAGTTGGGGGACGAGGTGAAACACAGCCGTGCTGGTGGCCAGTGAAGTCGACCTGTGGTCATGCTGTGGTGCTCGGTGCTGGCCCGAGCTTCATGCCTCCTGGCCCGGTGCCTGTGCGGAGGCTTGGAGGAGGTCACGCTGGCCAGTGACTTGCTGTCGAGATTCCCGAGGGGCACTTGTGAGAGGAGGCTGGTGAGGAGGTATCCCAGAAGTTCCTGTGGATTCCAGAGAGGCCCACGTGCCCTCCCACAGAGTTGGCCTGTGGGCCAGAGGCCACGGGAATGTTGGGATCACGGCCCCGTGGCAGTGCAGCAAGCAGGAAGGCGAGCAGCATGTCCATGGTGCAGTCTCACTGAGGAAGCAGCGTAGAGCCTGGCCCTGGAGGCCCTCGGCGATTCCCTGGCTCTGAGGCTGCCACCTCTGTGACAGCCTACTGGGACCCATAGGCAGCTATCTTGCTCTTTTGGTGATGTCTAGAGGCATCCAGTCACCCTTGTCCCCATGCTGTCTGCCTGTGTCAGGTCACAGGACGTGCAGGCTACCTGGCATCCTGGCCTGGCTGCAGCCCTCCCTGCAGCCTGTCTGCACAGGTGGCCTTGTTGACAGGCATGGGCTTCTCAGGTGCAGTGCTGGGAGCTCCAGTGGAGAGCCATGGACAACACCTGACCAGGGGTGAATGCACAGTGCCCCCAGGTGTTGTGTGCACATTCCCCTCCCAGGTGTTGTGTGCACATTCCCCTCCCAGGTGTTGTGTGTACGTCCCCCCTGCCAGGTGCTAACCCCAACCCACCGTGTGAGTATGCACAGTCCCCCCAGGTGTTGTGTGCACAGTGCTCCCCTAAGTGTTGTGTGCACATCACCCCCTGCCATGTGTGAGTATGCACAGTGCCCCCCAGGTGTGAGTGCACAACAAAGCCCAGGGCCTCAGGCATGCTCGGCAGGCACTCACCACAGACCTCATCCTGGCCCTCTACTGCCTGTAACTAGTGTCATGTGACATGGGAAGACTTAATAACTAGGTGGAGTGTGTCTGCACACATTTACGTCATAAGTCTTACAAGAACTTGTGGTGTCTGTAATGTTTCCGGAACTTCAAATATGGCAGCAGCAAGTAGGGCTTTGTGGGTGATCCGCTTACATAAATTCTTTACTCATGGCCTTGAATGTCTTTCTCTTTTTAGCTAGTGTGTGTGTTGTGAAGGTTGAAGGTACCCCGTATCTTTGCAAGACTGATGAAGTTGGAGAGATCTGTGTTAGTTCCAGTGCAACTGGAACAGCATACTACGGATTACCTGGAATCACAAAAAGTGTGTTTGAGGTTTGTGCCTTTTCCTGGTCTTTGTGTTGAAGTCAAGACCCCACTGGTGTTGATGGGGCCCTGGGGTGCAGGGTACCAGAGGCTGCGATTGCTGCTGTAGGTGCACTCTACCCTGAACAGGGGAGGCTGGGACAGCCTGGCCAGCAGGAAGGCCTAGAGAGGCCTCTGCTGAGTTTGCCTCTTTACGACACTCATTGCTCATACTAAGTCTGGTGAGGCCAGCCAGGTATAGCCAGGCACCGGGCAGACGTAGACGTGAGGGCCGCCTGAGCCCTGCTTCAGGAACCGTTCAGGCAATGGAGGAATCCGACCCATAAAACAGGGCAGGAGGCCAGGGACCTTGGGAGTCCAGGCCACAGCCTTGCGGTCTCTCACTCCACAAAATACGGGTATTTTCACAGCTCTGTGTTATGGAGGGTGGGGGTCTCACCTGCCCACCAGTCCACAGCCTGACGTCTCCTGCTCTGTACAGACTGTCCCTGTCACGGTAGGAGGAGCCCCTGTCTCTGAGAGGCCTTTCACCAGGACAGGCCTGCTGGGCTTCATTGGGCCTGTGAGTATGTCCTCTTGAACCAGGGTGGCAGTTGGGGTGGACCAGGTGGGGGCAAGGGACACTTCACCTGAGTTCTGTGTGCCCCAGTTGGTCATGCTGACCGTGCCTGCATGTGGCGTTATCTGTGTGCAGGGCTGTCCACACCCCTGTGAGACCAACCTGCAGACCATACGCAGCCTGGGGGTTGCTGGAGGTGGGCCAGGGTGCCAGGTGCATGGGCGTGATGCTGCTCTTTACCACTTTGGGTGTCTGAAGTATTTAGATTTGCTTTGTAACGTCTGACCCCACAATTCTCAGCAGGGTGGACTCACTCCCTGCTCCCAGGAGACATTAAGGTGTCGTTGCTTGGGGAGGGGAGTGCCACTGTCAGCTCATGGGTCTCTAGAGGCCAGCGTGCTGCTCGGCATGCGCCTTATGGGGCACAGTGCCTGTGACAGGATGGTCAGCCCAGGGTATCAGGTGCCACGCTCAGGAACCCTGCCTTCAGCCAGTGGCTTCCAGTGTCCTTTGCGGGGTTTTACCCACGACCTGAAGCCCTCGGAGTCTGGCTTACCCCCAGGCCGCCACACCTCCCAGTAGCTTCCTTCACCCGTAGCCCTCACCTACAGCCCTCACCTGTTGCTCGCCTTAGTGCCTGAGGGTGCTGCAGCGCTCTGCACCCTATGTTGAGAGGCACTGGGTTTAGGTGGGGCTGACCACACCCCTCCCTAGGACAACCTGGTTTTCGTCGTGGGCAAGCTCGACGGGCTGATGGTCGTGGGAGTCCGCCGACACAATGCAGACGACGTCGTGGCCACCGCTCTGGCCGTGGAGCCCATGAAGTTTGTCTACAGAGGCAGGTGATGCGCTGCAGACCCTGCGCTGTGGGTTTCAGTTCCCCTCCAGTTAACGTTTGGGAAGTCGGTGCAGTGGAAAGAAAGCCAGTAAATCTAGGTTTGCAAAACCTAAGAATTTCTGTATATCAGAAAAACATCACAAAGGAAAAGAGAAGTGTTTGCAACAGCGATACCAGAGTTAATGTCTGCACTACCCAAGGAGTTTGTTCACTTCCTTAAGAGAGCCAGGCCCAGGTAGGCGTATCAGACCCTAGATCGGGTCTAGAGAAGCCCCCCACTCAGAAAGGCCCTCAGGCAGGCTGTGTGGGCCCATGTCTGTAGGGAAGGGCAGCCCCAGCCTGGGTGCAAGTGCCTTGCCAACAGCCTGCCCCTCGCAGGGACCCTGTGGGTGCAGGTGTGTGGGAGGATGGCATCAGGGTAGCCTCACCCTGCTTCTCGGGTGAGCTGGGGAGGCTGCCGCCTCATGTGCAGTGGCTACCTGAATTGACATAGTGATGCCAGCCAGGTGGTCGGCAGGGGCAGGGGTGATTGCATCTGCAGACAGGTAGGCTGTTGGCCCCCAGGGGGGCTGAGGAGTACAGGGTCCTAAAGCGAAGCCATAGCCAATGGCCTGTGTGTGCTCTTGGAAAAAGACACAGTAGATGGATGAGGACAGCTGGGCAGGGAGGGACACCTGGCAAGCCAGGTAAGAAGCTGCTCAGAGTGCAGAGAGAAAGCTCAAAGGCTGCAGGGGTGAGGAGAGGAGGGCCTCGGGTGGTGGCTGTGGGAAGGGGTGCTGGAGGGCAGGACAGGCAGGGCAGGCAGGAGGTGCGCCCTGGATGCGCCGGCACAGGGGCTGCTGTGCCAGGAAGCCAGGCAGACACCTCAGGCAGCACAGGGACCTGCATGGGTTTCAGCGAAGTATGTCTCCCCAGCCCGGGAGCCTCAGCGATTTTACCACAAAACAAGGCGTATCGAGAACGCTGTTAGACAAGGCACTAAGAGAAGTGCATTAGGATGTGCTACGGAGAGGCCAGTGAGGGACATACTGGGCCAGGTCTCAGATAGAAGCACCGCGGGGGGTGTCAGGTGTGTGGGTTGTGTGTGTGGCGCATGTGTGTGTTGCTGGATGTATGCAGGATGTGGTGGTGTGCATGGGATCTGTGCAGAGTGTGTGTGCTGCTAAAGGACAGAACGAGAACGTGTGCCGACAAAGCTCAGAAGGGACTGCTGCCTCAAGCAGGAGGGTCTGGTGGGAGACCCGCTTCTCACTGCCCGGGGAAAAGGTAGGAGGAAAGGGCAGCAGGGGAGGAGATGGTGAGAGCGCCGAGGCCAGACGTAGGGCAGGCCCACGCTTGTCCGTCAAAGCGAGCTGACAGGTGAGCCGGTGCAGAGCGCAGCGCCTGGGGTTGAGGACTGCACGAGCTTCTGACCAGGACCTGCACGAGCCAGTGAGGCACCGCCTCAGTGCTGGAACAGGGGCCGTGCTGATGCTGCGTGCCGAGGGCTCTCCTGTCATATGCTGGGCCTCTCCCCTGCCCCAAGGAGGCTAGGCTGGGTCACTGTGCATTTGCTGTAGAGTTTGTTCACCAGGCTGACTATGGTGAGGGCAAAGCACTTGTGTCCTCTGCTGTGTGGTCACTCTTGCCTGGTCCTCCCTCAGGATTGCTGTGTTCTCTGTGACCGTGCTGCATGATGACCGGATTGTCCTGGTGGCTGAGCAGCGGCCTGACGCCTCTGAGGAGGACAGCTTCCAGTGGATGAGCCGCGTGCTGCAGGTGGGTCCTTGGGAAGGGGACCCCGAGGCACTGGGGTGTGTGCATGCCACGGAGGTCGCAGGACCCCACACTGCAGTGTCATTTCCCACTTTGACGTCTTTGCAGTACAGTATTCCACGGGTAGCAGGCGTAGACACCTGTGTGACGGCCCACGTTCCCCTCCCTGGAGGCTGGGTCTTTGTTTCCGTATGAATTTTAGGATTTTCTTTCTAGTTCTGTGAAGAATGTTATACAACATTAACATTTTGGTGGGAATTGCATCAAATCTGTAGGTTTCTTTTGGCAATATGGCCATTTTAATGATATTTATTAGGCCTGTTTGTGACCATGGGAGATCTTTCATCTTATGTTCTCTTCTTCTGTTTCTTTTTCCTTGTAGAGATCTTTCACCTACTTGGTTAGATTTATTCCTAGGTTTTTGTTTAGTTTTTTTGAGGCTATTGTGAATGGAATTATTTTCCTGATTTGTTTCTCATGAGTTTATTATTGGTATACAGGAAAGTTGATTTTTTTTGTATGTTGGTTTTGTATCCTGCTACTTTGATGAATTTGTTTATTAGCTCTATAATCCTTTGATGGAGTCTTCAGGGTCTTCTGGACATATGATAATATCTGCAAATAGGGATGATTTAACTTCCTCCTTTCTTATTTATCCCTTTCCTTTCTTTCTTTTCCCTAATTGCTCTGGCTAAAATTTTAACTACTGTAATGAATAGGAATGATGAGAGCAGACATCCTTATTTCATTCCTGATTTAAAGGAAATGCTTTCAGTTTTTCCTCATTCGGTGTAATGTTGGCTGTGGGGTTGTTACATATAGCCTTTATTATGTTGAGGTACGTTCTTTCTATCCTTGGTTTCTTTAGGGTTTTTCTCATGAAGGATGTTGAATTTTGTCAAAGGCTCTTTCTGCATCTGTTAAGATGATTACATGATTTTTGTCCTAACCCTAACCCCAAATAGATAAGACCAGAAAAGAACCTTTCTACTGTACATTATAGTTAAAATGCCAAAAACGCATATCAAAGAAAAAAATTTAAAACTGTAAGAGAGAAAGTCGAACCAATCAAAATAATAGCATCTTTCTCATCAGAAACCCGAGAGCCCAGAGGGGCATGCATGGCATATCTCTGAAAAAAATGACTGCCAATCTAGACTGCTCTACACAGCAACGATGTCCTTCAGAACCAAGGAAGAATCACAGACTGTTACCACCAAGCAGCACTGCAGAAGGTGCCGGAAAGGATTCTAAAAAGAGACGAGGAGGATAAAAATAACCGGAAGGGCATGGGGAAAAATAAATCTTGTAAGAGTAGAGAAGCAAGTGAAATGAAGAGCAAATTAAATTTCAGAAAGGGAACAAAATGACAAGAAGTAATACACAGTCTCTAGAAAAACACTGACGTATATGATCTTTAACCCTCCAGTTACAGGTCGCACACTGGTCACTGATATTGGCCAGATCAAGTTGTTGATATTGTGTGCGTGTACTAACATATAACAAGTCACACCATTAGGTACAACTATAATGTGCCCATAAAATATGGAAAAATACACTAAAAAAGACATACAGTGGGAGACTGGATTTAAAAACCTATCTCTAGGGCTGGGGTGGTGGCTCAGTGGTAGAGCTCTAGCCTAGCACACGTGAGGCACTGGGTTCAATCCTCAGCACCACATACAAAAATAAATAAAATAAAGTTATCATGTCCATCTACAACTAAAAATATTTAAAAACAAACAAACAAAAAAACCTGTCTCTGCTCTGTGTTGTCTACAAGAAGCCCACCTATGGGTAAGACGTCCGCAGACTGGAAGTGAAAGAAGGGAAAACAATATCCCCTGTGAATGGAATCTCAAAGCCAGTGGGAGGAGAGAGAGGGTACTACTGGCGACAAAGGAGCAGTCCAAGAAGATACAGCTGCGTCTTGTGTGTTCAGCGACCCAGTTTCATGAAGTGATGCTACTCAACATAAGGGGACAGATAGAACCCAATACAACACCAATGGCTGACACCAATGTGCCATCCTCACTAATGGAGAGGCCTTTCTGATGGAAATCAACGCACTGCAGGATCAGTACTTGTCATCAAATGGACTTGACAGACACCTACAGACTATTTCATCCAACAAAAAGTGAACACTTCCTTTTAGTTGCTGAGAGAACTTACTCCAAAATAGATTATATATTAGACCACAAAGCAAGTCTTAGCAAATGCAAGGAAAAAGATAAAATAAAAACAACCCCTGAAATAATTGCTTCTATCTTATTGGACCATAAAGAAATGAATTAGAAATTAGCAACAAGAAAAATGATACAAACTGTAAAACACATGGAGCTTGAGTAATATACATTTGAATGATGGCCATGTGGAGAATGTCTGTCTGGTTCTCAAGGCTCAGAAAGTTTCCTGAGTCTTAAGTTAGGTCTCTTCGTGTTGCTCTAGAGTTCTTGTACATTTGGGGAATGAGGGGGATGCTCAATCACTGAGCCACATCCCCAGGCCTTTTTATTTAGAGATGGTCTCACTAAGTTACTTAGAGCCTTGCTAAGTTGCTGAGGCTGGCTTTGACTTGTGATCCTTCTGCCTCAGCCTCCCGAGTTGCTGGGATCACAGGCGTGTGCCACCGTGCCTGGCTAGAGTTCTTGTACATTCTACAGAGTTTCTAATTTTTCTTTTTTGCTGTCTCTGTGATCAAGTTGTTTTCTACACCTGAAATTCCATCTTTTGCTTGATCTAGTTTATTGGTGAGACTTTTAACTGTTTTTTTTTTTTTTCTTTCATTTTTCTTTTGTAGTTCTCCATGGACAGAATGCCTTTATTTTATTTGTTTATATGGTGCTGGGGATCAAACCCAGTGCCTCATACGTGATAGTCAATGCTCTGCCATGAGCTACAGACCCAGTCCTTAACTGGGTTTTTATTTGATTATTTGAGCATTCATTTCCAGGGTTCGAGTTTGGCTCCTTTTCATAGTCTCTCTATTGAAATGCTCTTTCGTACCTATTTTGTTTCCCTTTGTGCATTCCTTAGGTATTTTCGTTCGTTGCTTCAGCAGTTGACTTTGCAGCATTTCTTCTTTGGCATCCAGGGTTGTTCCTGGAGGCATCCAGTGCCTTGTTTTCTCAGGCCTCCTGTGTTTCTGTGTGGAGCTGTGCACATCTGCTGGGTTGGGTTTCTCCTCCACTTTAAAGTGAGGGCCTTTGTAGTGAGCTGTGCTCTGTGCCGTGTCCTGCCTGGGTTGTTTCTGTGTCCATGCACCCCTACTCAGTTCACAGTACTGGGACGCACCCTGCCTGCCAGGAGGGGGTGGCCAGCTGCAGGAGGTGGCCACCTGGGAATGATAGCATGCTGGGGGGCCACAAACACTAATCAGAGATGTGCCCTGCAGCTCCCCTAGTCCAAAGGGCGACGGGGCAGTAATGCCCTACAATAGGCTGGAAAAATCAGTAGAGAAAGTAAAATTAATATTGAACTATGGACAGAAAGAACCAGCAGCAGAAAAAGGGAAGCAGAAGGGGAGGGAGAGAAAAGCAGCAGCAAGGAGAAAAGGTTATAGAGAGAAGGCAGAAGAATAGAGCCGGGATTCCATTGACACCTCACAGCATCCAGAGGAGCACACGGAGCTGGTCGAGGTGTCAAATAGGCAGGGAAGCTGCAGCCGCAGTGCAGACGGTATTGCCAGTTTGTCCGCTTTCTGTCCCTGTGACGGAAGACCTGACAACTTAGAGGAGGGAAGGTTTATTTTGGCTCAGAGTTTCAGAGGTTTGGTCCATGGTCAGCTGGCCCCAATCAGACACAGCATGGCAGAAGGGTGTGGCAGAGGAGAGCTGTTGGCTCATGGCAGCCAGGAAGGGGGCCAGGCCGGAGACAGGGCTGCAGCCAGGTGCTGTCCCCAAGACCATGCTCCTGCAGCCAGACCACCTGCGTGTGGTTTTCCCCACCTCCCAGTGAATCCAAGTCTTTAATGCGTCAAGTGGATGAGCCGCTGGTGTGGTCCCAGCCCTCATGGCTAGTGTTTCCCCTGGGAACACTGGGGCATCGCCCAGCACATGAGCTCTTGAGGGACGTTCCAGATCCCAACCGTAACGTCAGTGACAGCTTAAAAAAATCTAATATTGAAGCATCTACAGCTACTCCTTGCTGAGATACTCAAAATGGAGAGATTTCTTTTTGTTGGTACAGGGATTAAACCTAGGGGTGCTTCAACACTGCGCCACATCCCCAGCCCTTTTTTTATATTTTAGTTAGAGAAAGGGTCTCGCTAAACTGCTTAGGGCCTTGCTATGTTGCTGAGGCTGGCTTTGAACTTGAGAGCCTCCTGCCTCATCCTCCCCAGCTGCTGGGATTACAGATGTACAGTGCCATGCCCAGCAAGACAGAGAGGTTTCTTACTGGGCCTTCCAGCTTTGGATTCCACCAGATACCTGGAGTATGTGTCCACCCTCGGCTGTGTGATCCGAGTGTCTCTGGATCCGATCTGTCTCTGGGTGTGACCACACCAGCCATTTCTGCTGGGCTGAGGAGCTCTATGTTCGGTTTTCACCACACTCAGCCTTATGCTTTAAAAACTGCCCAGAATTCAGGTACCTGCTCCATCCATTGACCTTGACCTGCCCACCTCTGGTGTGACCTTTCCAGGTGCCTAAAAGCCCTCAGGAGGGTCTGAGGGACGGGTCTGATTGTCTGTCCTGGTTTGAGGTGCTTCTAGGCTATCAGCTGCTCCCCCCTTTTCTGAGTAGCCAGGGGCTCTGAGCGTTCCATGAGGAGTCCTGGTGCTGCAGCCCTGGGCCTTGGTTTCCTGTCCAGTGTGGTGTCCCCTGGGCTTCTCCACATGGCTGGAGCCCATGCTCAGTGGGCCCTTCCCTTCCAGGCCATCGACAGCATCCACCAGGTGGGCGTATACTGTCTGGCGCTGGTCCCTGCTAACACCCTGCCCAAGGCTCCCCTCGGGGGGATCCACATCTCTGAAACCAGACAGCGCTTCTTGGGAGGAACCCTGCACCCCTGCAATGTGCTGATGTGCCCTCACACCTGCGTGACCAACCTTCCCAGACCTCGTCAGAAGCAGCCAGGTCAGTCTGCCCAGCAGCCCCATTGTGACTGGGGGCCAGCCCTGAAGACCCTGCAGTGGTAGCTGCCACTCCCTGGGGCTGGGCCCAAGGGCCAGAGCCAGCATTTGCCAGTTGCTTAGCACCCTGCCTGCTGGCACTGGGCCAAAGTTGAGGAACTGTGGCCATTTCACCTGTGAGGATAATGGCAAATCCAAGGCCCACACCTGAGCTTTGGATGGCTAGGAGGTGGCTCCCTAGGGACAGAGGTGAGGCCCAGAAACAGGCCTGGGCCTTGGGATCTGAGGAGCCTCTTGGCCACCATCATGCCCTGCTACCTGCTACCTGCCTCCAGCTACCTGCCCCCAGGCTGCCTTCCACAGCCCTGTACCTGTTAGAGTGGCCGGCTTCATAGGACCTTAGGGGTTTCTCAATGGCCAGTTGCCCATCCCTGACCTTATGGCTGGCTTAGCTGTTCATGCGATTTGTCATTGCCTTGGTCATGTAGACTTTGAGTGCAAGCCAACTACATGAATACATGTCACCAGGAAGACTTAGTGTTCAGATTGACACAGAAATGCAGTAAAATGATAAAACATGTTAAGAATTTGGCTGAGGTCAGAGATGTCATATTCTCAGTTTCTCATTGTGCTTTAGTTTATATTTATGAGTGATTCTGTCAATCAGCGTAAACCCTTAGCTGGTTTTACAAACACTTGTGTTTTAGAGAAGACTAAAGTCGAATTCAGGTGTGTTTCACAATAACAAGTGTGAGGGAATTTAGGCTCAGGGTGAGCCTGATTCCCAGCCCCAGCTTCTCCCTGGGAACCACTTCTAGAGGTTGGACCTGCATCCATGATTGTGGGGAACCTGGTGGCTGGCAAGAGAATCGCACAGGCCTCAGGGAGGGAGCTGGCCCACCTGGAGGACAGCGACCAGGCGCGCAAGGTAACGGTGGCTTTGGAGGGGACCCGAGGCCAGGAGGTCTGGCAGGCGCTGAGCCGGGCCCTCTGTGCAGTTCCTGTTCCTGGCTGACGTGCTGCAGTGGCGAGCGCACACCACTCCTGACCACCCGCTGTTTGTGCTGCTGAACGCCAAGGTGAGGCAGGCCACCGCATCTGGAACATAGTTGGCCCAAGGCTTTGCTCCCTGCTCCTTTGCTTATGAAACCTCGTTTCCATGCAGTTCACACAGTAGTATCTTGTATTAAACAAGAACATTCTCATTAACTTTTGTGTGTGTGTGTGTGTGTGTGTGTGTGTGTGTGTGGTGCTGGGGACTAGACCCAGGGCCTTGTGCACGTGAGGCCAGCTCTGCCAACTGAGCTGCATCCCCAGCCCATCAACTTCACTTTTAAAATCAAGAACAAAATACATGTAAATACCCATAAGTTTGTGAACTAAAAGGAAATGTCTGTATTTTCAATCCCAGGCACTTAGGTTTCCTGTGTCTGTTCACACTGCCCAGTCCTCCTGTGATTGAACATGCTCCTCTGAGTATCTGGTCACCTGTTAGTGTACAGGTGGTGTCTGGGTGGGCGGGAGAGCTATAATGCCACGTCCAGGCGTGACAGGAATACAAGATGCAGAAACACAAGACTCCTGCTCCCTGCCGCCTGCTCGGCCTGTGTGAAGTCTCAAGCTTTGCGTAGGAGGGGCGGTTGCCGCAGTCTCAGAGGACACTGGGGCACCTGCTCACTCACAGACGTGTTGGTCCCATGTAATGTGTGGGCAGGACACTTTGAGTGACTCTCCCTGCTCGACACGCGTCCTGCAGGGGAGAAGCTCTTTCCTGGTCGTTTTACCTCTGAGTTCTAAAGTCTGCAGAGAGCGTGGTCAAGTGTTGGCAGGGTTCAGCCATGTGTGGTGAGAACCCAGAGATCAGAGAGGGGGAGTGCTGGGCAGGCTGCAGGCAGGCCCGGGGCTGGCGGCAAGGGGGCTGAGATTGGGAGGCCAGGGAGTGGGGACTGGCCTGGGGTTCTGGCCTTCATCCCAAGGGTGCACTGGGGTGCCCTGATAGGGTGGAGCAGCTGGGTGCACTCGTGGTCACAGTGGCTGCTCTGGACTGTAGAAGGGTGACTTTGGGGGCTGGGCACATAACAGCAGTGTGGAGCAGGGAGCCGGTGCCTGGGCGAGTGTGATGTGTGGCTGGGGGCATGTGTGTGAAGAGTGCACCCTGGGCTGCTGACCGAGGTCTTGGGTGGGTGCTCTCAAGGGATGAGGAAGCCATGGGGGGGGGGGGGTGAGTACAGGTGTTGATTAAGCATCCATGTTCTTTTTGGCCTGTTTCTCCGTAAAGCATCAGGTCCCCAGGGACATGCTGCCCCGGGACCCAGGAACCTCCTCTGGTGGTGCAGGTAGAGGCTGTGGCCCTAGTGGACCTAGGCTTTGAGGTCTCAGAGCATGTGAGCCCCCTAGCCCTGTCAGTGCTTGGATCCTGCCCAGGGGGCTTCACTCTCACAGGGCCACTCGAGGTGCCTGGCCCCACACTGTAGACAATGGGCACATCTGGTGTCCTGGGTGGTGCCTGTGTGTTTGCACACCAGCATAGTGATGGTTGCCTTCCTAGGGCACGGTCACCAGTACTGCCACCTGTGTCCAGTTGCACAAGAGGGCCGAGAGGGTGGCTGCTGCTCTGCTGGAGAAGGGCAGGCTGGACGCTGGGGACCACGTGGCTTTGGTCTACCCCCCAGGTAGGTGCACACTTCGGACCATCCCTCCCAGCCTGCCTAAAGCCCCTCTGCCCCACACATGGCCGTCCCAGGCTCAGACCCCTCCAAGAGCCTCTTGTGGTTGGATGGGACCTCTGACCTGGTGGCCCCACGCTGGCAGGGTGGCAGGTGCTCAGCTCACTTGTGCCTCTCAGTCCAGAACGAGACTGTACCAACTCTCAGAGCCCAGATTCTGATTGTTTAGAACAAAAACAGAGATCTAGAGAGGCCTATGATAGAGTCCCCTGAGATAACCTTCCTCTAGCGCAGGCTAGGGCTGCAGGGTTCCACCCATCTGCTGAGGTCTCTTTCCTCCCCAAGACCCCTGGTTGTTCAGGATGGGAATGTCCTATGGTTGCTCATTGGCTTTATCTACTGTACAGTGTGGACACTGCCTGTGTCCCTGCCCACCTCACCCCTGCCCAACCCATGGCACTGAGCCCCTGATTCCTGGTGTCCTGTGTGGTCACTGCCCTCGTTCCTGCCCTCATCCCTGCCCACTCGCCCCTGCCCAGCCCACAGCATACTGTGTTGCTTTCTTCATCTGGATGTTGAACATGGCCTGTGGGGTGTTAGTAGTTGGGGTGAGGATGATGACTGAGGCCTGCAGTTGTCCCTGCTGTGGGTGTGTCTGCTGTTCTTCATGTTGCCTGTTTGGGCCTTTTTTTGAGCCGACATTGGAGACAAGGGCCGTGTAAGCTAGGACAGCACTCTGGCTACTCTGCTGCATCTCAGCCCCATGTTTTAATGAAAAAAAAAAAAAAAAAAGAAAGCTCCTGGTTTTTAATTTGCCTTGAAAGCCTGCCTGGGGGAGAGTGTGGTCTCGGGAAGAGCTGGTGTGCTGTGTGTCCCCTCTGCCTGGAGGTGGCGAGCTGGTGTACTGTCTGTCTCTGGGCTGGCGAGACAGGTCCACATTTTGCACCCTGTTCTCAATGGCTCAGTGCCATTCAGGAATGCAGGAGTGGGGTGTAGGGACAGAGTTCCTGCCTTGTGTTTGGGGGTGCAGATGCTTGGCAGGCAGCCCAAGTTCCTGGGCTGCAGGAAGAGGACCTCTGGCCAAGTACTTCTCTTGTGAGGCCTCCATGCGGGGTGCTCTCCTTTATTCTGCTGCCTTGTGCTGAGCTGCTGCCCGTGGTCCACTTGAGTCACTAAGGGCCCTGGCAACTGTCAACTGGTAACACCCTCCCTGGCTGGATAGCCTAGGTCATTGTCCGTCTCATGTCCAAGATTGCATGTGGATGTTGCATATTCATTTGACTCTAAGAACGAGTGTCTGTAGCCTGAGGGTGCTGTGGGGTTGTCTCTGATTCCAGGCTGGCAGGACTTGGTGCTCTGGGCTCAGGGGGACCAGGGCAGGGAATGAGTTCTGTCAGACTAACTCTGGAAGATAGGCGTTAAGCATGGCACAGGTTCCCACAAGCCTTAATTATAGGGAATTTTAAACCTTTAGAGAAGTCGAGAGAGTGGTGGTTGGAACCTCTGGCCTAGTTTGGGTAAGAAGCAGGCAGCCCAGGGCCCAGGAGTCTTGACATTCGGGTGCTGCCCCTCCTGGTTTGGTCCTGTGGAAACCCTGTTACACTGTTGTGTCTCAGCCTCCTCTGAGGGTCAGTGTGTGCAGGCCTCAGTCCTTCCTGCTTCTGGGTCCCTCCTAGGGCACTACCTAGGCTCCTGTGCACCCCCAGTGCACCCTGTAGTGTGGCCCCTCTCACTGCCCGGCCCTCAGGGAGAGGGGGCTGACCTGACCTCCATGGGCTGCCTCTGTGCCCTTCCATCAGTGCTGGCCTCTGTAAATGCTGTGGCCAGACGGCGAGAAAATTTTTGCAGGGCCTGGCTATGGATACCGTGCTCTGGGCCCTCCTGATATCTGCTCGTCTTCTCAGGGGTGGACCTCATCGCCGCCTTCTATGGCTGCCTGTACTGTGGCTGTGTGCCTGTTACTGTGCGGCCCCCACACCCCCAGAACCTCGGCACCACGCTGCCCACCGTCAAAATGATCGTGGAGGTGCGTGCTGGGAGGGATACCACAGGCTAGGCTCTCCAGCTCACAGCCTCCTACTGTGGGCAGGGCTGGGCGGGATGCCACAGGCCGAGCTCACCAGTTCACAGCCTCCTCCCTCCTGGTGCAGGTCAGCAAGTCTGCGTGCGTGCTCACCACACAGGCCATCACACGGCTGCTCAAGTCCAAGGAGGCAGCTGCTGCTGTGGACATCAAGACCTGGCCAACCATCCTGGACACTGGTACGCGTCTTCAGCAGATGGCTCGTGGACAGACTCCTCTTTGTAGGGTTTCTTCTCCTTTTCATAGGGATCACACTCTTGCCATCCAAAATTAAGTGGTAGGGTGAATGACCAGCTGAAATGGGAGTGGCCTGTGCGGGGCATGTGACCTCCTGTGGAGTGTGCAGCCTGTGAGACCGCAGGACCCCGTCCCAGGTGTGACCTCCCCTTCCCAGGCTCATGTGCTGGGGTCTGTACCCTGCTGCCCTGGCTACCCCTGCTGCCTGCACAGCAGGTTGGCACTGTCTGAGCCTTCCACCAGCCCCTTGAGGACATTTCCCACTGTGTACCCTGACTCCTTCTGTCCCCATCACTGGAAAGATGCATGGCCGGGAAAGGGCTGGACCCTCTGCCTGGGCAGGTGGTTCAGCTTGGTGAAGCATGTCTCAGCCTAAGGTGAGACACCCAGCCCAGCAGCACCCCACAGCTCTGCAGTCACTGAGTACAAGCCAGGAGAGGGCCCTCCCTCCCCACTGCAGCCCGTGCACTCCATGATGCCACCAGAGCTGAAGCCAGGGACTGTGTAGTCTGTGGCTGCCACCTGGCACCATGAGGGACAGGAGGAACCATTTTCAGGGTAGCTGTTAAGGGGTCTGGCCAGAGCCTGTAGCCCAAGGGCTCACTTGCCTGGCCAAGCCTGTGTCGAGGGGCTGCTGCCTCATAGGTGTAAGAACTGGGTACAGCAGGCAGAGCCTGGAGCCTGCATGCCTGCTCTTGCTGGTGCTGCAGTTCTGGGCAAGCCCTCAGCCCTGTGGCTTCCTGTGCTGTCCTCATAACCTGGCCCCTGCTCCCCTCGCCCCACTTTCCCCTCATCACACACCTGCAGTATCTGTGTCAGCGTGGCCTCCAGACGCGGCCTGCTTCTGATGGGTGTGTGTTCTGGGCCTCACAAACACCAGTCTCCTCTCTCACCTGTTGAGACCTCGGCACAGCACGTGCAGGGACGCTGACCTCACTGTGTCCCTGTTTAACAGATGACATACCAAAAAAGAAGGTGGCTAGTGTGTTCAGACCACCCTCCCCGGATGTGCTGGCCTACTTGGACTTCAGCGTGTCCACCACAGGGATATTAGCAGGAGTAAAGGTGGGTCTTTGGAGAGAACTCCTGTGTGTTCTGCCCCTGGAACCCGCGAGAAGACAGGAAGGGTGGGCGTGTGGCTCAGGCAGGTCCTTCTTATCCAGACCGAAGAGCAACAAGCGTTATGTCTTAAAATTTGTAAGGAGCACCAACAAACCCCCAGTGAGAGAGCCTGCAGGTCAAACTTACTTGGATGTCCAGCTTTCTGGCTTGTGACTGACCCCAAGGAATGGGGGCTTTGATGAGTCCATTTCCTCATTAGGAGTGAAGAGCTCAACCTGGAATCTTTGCTCAAAGACTCTCCTGTGCCATTTCCTGGGGGTCTGTCAGGTGTCATGGGGATGGCAGCCAGCCGTCTTGAGGAAGTCAGTGTGAGGTTCTGGAGCTGGAGCTGCATGCCCTCCTGGCCAGGGGCTCAGTGGACACGGCTGCAGGCCCTCCTCCTTCTCACCACTAGTGACCATTTCTTTCCTCCTCCAGATGTCGCACGCAGCCACAAGTGCCCTGTGCCGCTCCATAAAACTGCAGTGTGAGCTCTACCCCTCGCGGCAGATCGCCATCTGCCTGGACCCCTACTGTGGCCTGGGCTTTGCCCTGTGGTGCCTGTGCAGGTGAGTGTGGTCCACTGCTCTGGGCTCTGGCCGTTCCCGTGCTGCTCTAGGATTTGGCCTCCCGGAGGCTGGAGATGCATGTGAAGGCTTGCTTGGGATTAGGTGGTTGGAGTCGGGGTCTAAAACTGAAAGAGTAGAAGCATCTTTCACTAAAGGCAAGCACCATCCACCATCAGAAGCTGGAATAATCTGCCCAACTCCTTCAGATGCTAGAGAGGGGTGCTCTGTCTCTAGAGTTACGAGGCCTCATGGGGCCCAGCTTCTCCTCAAGTGTTTGAAGTAGAGGCCAGGACCCATGCATGGCACCCCCAGCCTGCACCCTGCGGCTCCTCCACTCAAAGTCCCCTGGTGGGAGAGCAGCACGGGGCTTCTGAGGAAGGGGCAGCACCTGGTGCAGTGGCTTCTCCCCAGCTGACCCCCTCCCGCAGTGTCTACTCTGGACACCAGTCAGTACTCGTGCCTCCGCTGGAGCTGGAGAGCAACGTGTCCCTGTGGCTGTCAGCCGTCAGCCAGTACAAGGCCCGTGTCACCTTCTGCTCCTACTCCGTGATGGAAATGTGCACCAAGGGCCTGGGCGCACAGACAGGCGCACTCAGGGTGAGTCCTGGGCGGAGGCTTCTGGGCACGGTGCCCTGAGCCAGGCAGTGGCCCCCTCCCAAGGCCCATGCCAGCCCCCTGTACCTCCCAAGCCCTGTGCCTATAGGGAAGGTCTTCCTCGAGCTGCTCACCCGCAGGAGAGAGAGAGAGAGGGGTGTGGGCTGGATGCTGCCCTCTGCGCTTCTGTGTCAGAAGCCCCAGCCTGACACTGGGGGGCAGATAAGTGTGTCAGCTTCCCTTGTGCACTCAGACCGAGGACCAGGCCATGCTGGGCCCCACCCAGAAACTTCTAGGAGGGGTGGAGCCTGGATCCTTGCCTGTGTGGAGTGCACCAACTCCCTGCTCCTCTGCAGATGAAAGGGGTGAACCTGTCATGTGTGCGCACGTGCATGGTGGTGGCCGAGGAGCGGCCGCGGATTGCCTTGACACAGTCCTTCTCCAAGCTGTTCAAGGACCTGGGCCTCCCTGCGCGTGCTGTGAGCACCACCTTTGGGTGCAGGGTCAACGTGGCCATCTGCCTTCAGGTAAGGGCCAGCTGCAGACCACCCTGTACACTTGCCTGCTCCACTCTCCACCTCCGAGCCTTTGCTTCACTTTCCCATGGCTGTTTAGAGCTCCGAGGCTTTATTTTAAAAGATTTAGTGTTCTTGTTGATGAAGAAAGAGTTATTTAGAAAAGAACACATTGATTTGACTGGTACACCTGTAAGAATCTCTAACCAGATGCAATGTGTGGCTACTTGTTAAAAGAATTGCTGGACTCACAATGTTACAACATCTAGCAAGTTTAAATGGGAACATTGTAAATGTGCTTATTCTTGTAAACCCAAATCTGTTTTGAAGCTGTAAGTTGCAGAAACGAATTTCCAATGTAGGGCTTCTCTTCTGCTTTCTGGATTTGGCATCTCCATTGACTTTCTTTCTGAAAATATATTTTTTTAATATTTATTTTTTTTAACTGTAGTTGGACACAATACCTTTATTTTATTTATTTATTTTTATGTGGTGCTGAGTATTGAACCCAGGGCTTTGCACATGCTAGGCAAGTGCTCTACTGCTGAGCCATAGCCCCCGCTTATCTTTCTGGAAACATCTTAAACCCACATAGCTTATCAGAGATCCTGCACAGGAGGAGCTGGGAGCAAGAAGCAGGTGCTCCCAGGGCCGAACTGTGGGCCCTTCTGAGTTTCCAGCACCTGTGCTGTCCTCAAGGAGGCCTCACGTATAGGTGGGGTGCAACCGCAGATCCCATGTTAGGCCAGCACCTCATGTTTCTGCTGATGTCCTCTCAGCCTAAGAAAGGCTGTTGGCCTCTCCAAGCTTCAGACCTTGAACGGTGGAAGGTGTTGGGGGTCCCGCCTTGATGTTCCTCACGTGGCTGGCACTCTGGCTGGTGCCTGTGAGCTGAGACCCCACCCTGTGTCTGCAGCCTGTTCCCTGTCTGGGTGCTGGAGGCACCTGCTTGCCTGCTGGCGAGCGGGTGCCCATGTGGCCACAGGGCTCTCAGTGGGATACCACCTGTGCTCTGAAGATGCAGTGACGTGTTTTGCTCTCTTCCGTGTTTCTCACGTGGCCGGTGGCCTTCTGTTTGTGTTTCCTGTGGCTGTCTCCTCCCTGTCTCCCTCTGCTGGCCCCTTGGCCTCTGTCAGCCCAACAGGCTGGGAAAGCTGGCTGAGCAGGTATGACCTTACCCTTGCCCTCAACCTTTCTAGTGCCTGACCCCACCCCCAGTTCTTGTGATCTTCTCGTGAATTTCAGATGCAAATGTGTTTCGTTTGCTGTCTAACTTTGTTCACAATGGGTATTATTTGACATATCACAAAACCTTCTTTGTAACAAAATCTAAAGTAAAACTATTTTCAAAGTGTAACCTTGGCACATTGCAGGGACCTGGAATCTCAGCAGGGCTTGGTGTTGGTTCAGGGCAGACACAGCTGATGTCGCCTGGGACCTTCAGGAACGTGCTGATCAGAGTCCGTTTGTTAGTGACTTCCCAGCTAGTGGAACAGCACATTCTGCCCTTGAATCAGGACTCAAACACTAGACTTAGAAGAAGTCAGGACAGGCGTTGTCTCCCATCTCATCTGAACGAGCTCTGCTGTGCTGGGTCCCTAACAGGATTGTTGAGGGCAGGCCCTGCTCTCACCACTGAGCAGAAACGTCCCAACCACAGCAAGAGACCACTGGGAGTAGAGAGTTAGAACTGAAGCGAAGCTTGTGTGGCTCAATGTTTCCAGTGTTCCTGAATGTTTCACTTGATATCACAACCCTCATGGGTGTTGGATGGGGAGCAGCAGCAGCCCTGCCCTGGGACCCTGAGCCCCAAGGCAGACCCGCTCTAGGGAATAGGCTGCTTTCTGGGCACTCCCCATGGCCCTGGAGGAGCTGCCACACCGCCAAGTCGGTGGCCCCCAGAGCAGAGTGCAACCCAAAGGCAGCTCCTCCGTGCTCCTCCTCTTCCAGGGCACAGCTGGCCCAGACCCCACGACCGTCTACGTGGACATGCGGGCGCTGCGCCACGACAGGTAATGTCCACACCTGCTGGCAAGGTGCCACAGCCTGGATCTGTACTAACAGCACCCTAAGTCCCAGACTTCAGTGGACACTGGTTGGCTCAGGGCCTCCAGGCCCTGGGTGTCAGTGGACTATGGCTCAGCCAGGGCCATCTGCACTGAGAGAAGTGGAGGTGTGTGGGTCTCTTGGGGTGCCCTGTGGGGAAGGTGGGCTTTCACCCCTGTGCCCCACGTCCTCAGAGCTGCAGGGAGCAGCCCTCATCCTCCCTCACACAGCCCAGGCGGCAATGGTTGCTTTCTTGGGGAACGTTAGAAGGCAGGACAGCCAGCTAATGGAAGCACCATCGTCCTGGTGCTGCTTCAGCGTCTGCCTGACGCTCACATCAGGAGGCGTGTGCTGGGGCCAGATCCTCAGGGTGGTCACGCTCCTGTGCTATGTAAATAGTGGGTGCAGCTCCCTGGGTGCCAGGGGCTGGCCAGATGGCAGACAGCCCAGGAAGCAGGGCAGGTGGGGCCTGCCTGGGGTTGTTTATAAGAGGCTGATATTCCGGCTGTTGTTGACAGACACCCTCAGGGAAAAGGTCTCCAGAGATTATTGCCCACATAGTAAGTTTTATTCTGAATCTTTTTCTGTGTTAATTTTTAGGGTACGCTTGGTGGAACGGGGTTCTCCGCACAGTCTGCCTTTGATGGAGTCTGGAAAGGTAGTAGAAGCTGGGACTCCTGTGCCCCAGGGCAGGTCTGAGACCTGTCTCAAATGCCACCCAGTGGAGGTGCTGGGGCTGTGTGCTGCCCAGCGAACGTAGCCAGACCCTGGGAGTGGGCTGGGCCACTGCAGAAGCCACTTCCTCCTCTCCGCACACGCAGAAGCATGAGCTCACATCCAAGAGTGAGCATCCAGGTGCAGATGCAGAGACTGATTACCCTTGACCAGGCCATGGAGCAAGGGCCCCGCCCACACACACTCTTAGACTCGGGTGGCTGAGGTCAAGTGGCAGCAAGGAAGGGGCCCTTCCAGGGCTGCAGGCCAGTGGGGATGTGCCTCCACCTGCTGAGGTCCCCGAGGATGCTGAGGGAGGAGCTCTGGGCCTGAAATGCCCAGGTGACAGCTGCGTCCTGCAGGAAAGGCCAGCCGGTGCAGACCCAGGAGCGCAGGTGCCTTCAGAGCTAGGGATGGCCAGCAAGGGCCACTGGTCAGGGTGAGAAAGTGAGTCAGGCTGGTGGTGTGGGCATGCAGCGCATGTAGGGGTCTCCAGGGCCCCACACAGCAGTGGCCACACACCTGGGAGCCTCTGGAACCCCTGGGGAGCTGCCTCTCTGTACCTTCACAACTCAAGAAGGTTCAGAGAGGCTACCCAACTCTACTTGCCATGGCTACGGCCACAGCTGCCTCTAGGAGGCAGGGTGCTGCCCAGAGAGGGCCAGAGCCAGCCACAAAATGGCCAACACATGGGCCCTGTTGGCTGCCTGCGGGTGGGCGTGTGTGAGCCAGTGGCAGGTGCAGGTGGCAGAGCTGCCTCCACACGTCTTTCCACTTTCTCTAAGCAGCAGCCCCGCTGAGAGCTGAACGGATCTGGCCCGTGGAGGCCTGAGAGGAGACTGGGGACTGCGGCCCTGCCTGGGTTGGAGCTCCTCCAGGTGGTTTTGCAAAGTCCTGATGTCACCCTGGCACATGTTCCCTGGGTGCCCTCAGGAGCCCCACCCTGCCCTATGGCCTCCCCCTTTGGTCGGACTTTTCTCTCCTTCCCCTTTGCTGGCACAGTAGCTCAGGCCTGCTGGGCTGTGTTCTGGAAGGAGAGCTGTGGTTCTGGGGTTCAGGTGGGCCACAGTGGGGGAAAGCATCCAGGAAGACAGGCAGAGTAGGGAGGGCCTGGCGCCAGTGTAGGACCACACCTCCCACGGCCCTGTCCCCTCCTCCGCCTGCCTGAGGGCCACATGCCATCGCCCTGGCCCTCCCTCATCTGTAGCTGAGGGTGCAGAGCTAGCAGCCAAGCCTGTGCAACCAGGTGGTGACCTGAGCCAGGGAGGGGCCCTGGGTTGGCCGGGAGGCTGGGACATGGCCTCCAGCCTGCCGATCCTGCACTGAGGAGGGGTCAGGCACAGACCCCTGGGGAAGCATGAGGCTCTTGAGGCCCTGTTGCGCAGGGCCAGTGGTGGTTGAGGGTTTTCGGCTTCAGTGAAAGCCCTGGTGGACCCCAGCGCTCGCCCAGACGGGAAGTGACAGGACATGCTCGGGACCTGGGGTTGTTCTGCTGGGTCCACAACTCACATTTTTTCTTTTAATGTCTCCTTTCTTTTAAAATTCAAAGTCAGGTTTGTAGTGGCTTCTAGATTTCTAGCCTGTCCCGGGTGGGCAGTCCTGCTGCGGGGCTTCTGAGGGACTCTCTTTGATGCCCCTGCATCAGGAATCTCCTGCTGTTTTCTTTGATGAGGACTTTTAATAGCTAGCTGTCCTCCTTCCAGATCCTCCCAGGGGTGAAGGTCGTCATCGCACACACTGAGACCAAAGGGCCCCTTGGAGACTCGCACCTGGGCGAGGTGAGTGTTAGCCAAGGTTGCCCTGAACCACGGGGAAGTGGCGGAGCCCTCCAGCCTCGCCAGCTCTGCCCTCTGCCCCTTTCTGTCCCAGATTCAGGAATTTTGACCCTGGGGTCACACATGTCTTTGGGAATCCCGGGAACACTTTGGCCCTTTCTCCCGTCACTGTATTCCCAGACCTGCTGCCCTGGGTGGCCCCAGCAAGGGAGCCTCAGGTCTGAGGGCCCTGGATGGCCGGAGGAGCCACCGGGAGCCAGCTGCCGGTGAAGCCCATGCTCTCCTCTGACCCCGGGTCTGTCCTGGAAGCATGTGAGCACGCATGTGAGTGCCACCAAGGGTGCCTGTGTGGATGTGGCTGGATGTGGCGTACTGTATGCTCAGGCTCCATCGTTCAGTCTGGTCTGAGCAGCTGTGTCTGCCACCTGGTCCTTCTGGGGACTGAGCTGTGGGTTGCAGTGCGAGGTGGGCATTTTGGCCTGAGGATGTGTGGGCTCTGTGCCCACCCCCAGCACAAGACAAGCACCCTTTATTTGAGGAAGGAAGTGTCACTTGCCTTCTGTGCCTATAGCTGTGCTCAGTCCACAGAGTGAGATGCTGAGAACGCCCCTGACGCTTGGCTCAGCTTTCCTTGAGGCTGTCATGGGCCGGGGCTGCCTCAGGATGGAAGTTGTGCTCTCTGGTTTGTGACATGCCCACGTTCTTGTCCTCTGGGCCCCACCAGATCTGGGTGAGTAGCCCCCACAACGCCACTGGGTACTACACGGTCTACGGGGAGGAGGCACTTCATGTTGACCACTTCAGTGCCAGGCTGAGCTTTGGAGACACGCAGACCGTCTGGGCAAGGACTGGCTACCTCGGCTTCCTTCGGAGAACAGAGCTCACAGATGCCAGTGGAGGTGAGGGCCGCTGTGAGTGCCTGCTGCAGCGCTGGGGGGCAGGGTGGCTGTCCGTGACAGCCCTGGGACCTGCTGTGCCTGCCTGTTTGCTGGAGCTTGCCTAGTCCGGGGATCTCACCACATGGCTGCCCCTCACCTCCTTGGACCCATGACTCCCGCAAGGACAGGGGTGAGTGAAGGATGGTGGCTATTTGTGATAGACAGAAAACCCTTCCTCAGGCATACCAGCCTCCCCAATGGTCTGCCCCCCAGTGTGCTGGGGGTGGAGTGTCTGAGCCGTGGCCAGGGTCCCGAGGACTGCGGCCAGCCCCACAGCTAGGTTGCCCCTATGGCTGCTTTTTCCAGAGGTGGGAACAGTTAGCGTGTACACACCACTCATGCCTGCCACTCACTGCAGTGACAGCCTCTGCGTGGATGGCATCCAAACCTCCCTGTCCAGGGCTCTTGGCTGGGCCCACAGACACTGGGCGGCTCTGCCTTCTGAGCACCTGCTCTCACCTGCATCCTAGAGCGACACGATGCGCTATATGTTGTGGGGTCTCTGGACGAGACGCTGGAGCTGAGAGGCATGCGGTACCACCCCATTGACATCGAGACGTCTGTGATCCGGGCACACAGGAGCATCGCTGAGTGGTAAGGGACCAGCTGAGGAGCGCTGCCCCTCTGCATGCACACAGGGCAGGGCCTGGCACTTCCACATCAAGTGGACAGGTCCCAGGGAGGACCAGGACTTCCTGAGTTCTTCCTCTGGGTGTGTTTCTGGGGAACCCCACCAGGGCACACCTCGTTGCCTTTGCCAGGGTTTCGGGTTTTTTCTCTTCCTAATCAGTTTCAAACCAAGAGACTATCCCCAGATGTGCAGGCAGAAGTCCCAGACTCTGCCACGTGTGCTGCGGCATCTCTTTGAACGTGGTTCCTTGATGCCCACAGGCTCCTGGTTCTCAGCAGCAGCTGGGCTGAGGCATGGTGCCCTGGAGGCACATGGCCCACTGTGGCACATGCTTGTTCTTTTGCTTCTTGGCACTTTGCCAATGCCTTTTGTGTGACTGCCTGTCACAGTGCTGTATTCACCTGGACCAACCTGCTGGTGGTGGTGGTGGAGCTGGATGGGCTGGAGCAGGATGCGCTGGACCTGGTGGCCTTGGTGACCAATGCAGTGCTGGAGGAGCACTTCCTGGTGGTGGGCGTGGTGGTCATTGTGGACCCTGGTGTGATCCCCATCAACTCCCGGGGCGAGAAGCAGCGTATGCACCTGCGGGACGGCTTCCTTGCAGACCAGCTGGACCCTGTCTACGTGGCCTACAACATGTGAGTGCCACCGCCAGAGCCTCAGTGCCCCACTGTGCCCTGCTGTGCTCTGCGGGTGCCTGCACAGTCCCCATCACTCCTTCAGGAAGCACTTCCTGGACTCCCTGAGAAGTGCTGGGACCTGCCAGGGATGTTCACAGACACAGAAGCCAGCATTTACCTGGAGTGCCAGGCGGAGAGGGCTGCACCGCAGGGTGGAACTTCTTAGGCCGCACGCATGGTTCTTGATTTGTAAAATTCAGTTATTTATTCCCACTTAAATGACAAGTGCATATCAAACCTCATTTGGAGAGAACTCGGAGGCCACGTCACAGTGGCCTTCTGTCACCCGGGGCAGAGCCCAGCCTGGTAAGCCTGCTGGGTGGGAGCATGTCCTGGCCTCCCGTGTGGATGGCAGCGGGGCCACGCTGGGAGCTGTTTCTTCGCAGTCTCGCTGTGGAGGTTGTCTGCACATGGTGTCACTGATGCTCATGAGGCCACCTGAGACCATCGGTCCACGTGCTGTCCCTGCCCTCCTGTGTCCAATTCCTGAGTTCTCATGCCTCCACATGCTGCTTCTCATGGAGTGTGTGGAACTGACATCCTTACTCCAGCAGATGGGGCAGGAGCCCAGGTCCACCAAGGTGTCCCCAATGTGCTGACCCACCCGCTGGCTGAGGAGGGCCGTTCCTGTTGGAGGTAGAGCTGTGACCCTCCTCGTCAGCGAGTGCGCTTTGAGTTCTGTGCCTACGGAATTTGGCCAAATCATTTCCAGTTATTTCATTCGAACTTAACAAGGCTGAGTGATCTATTACATTGAACCTGAATCAGTGAAGAGAATGTAAGATTCTTGAACTGTTTAGGGACTAGGAGCTGAACACTAATCTGAGACAAAAATTATTTTTATAGAGCTGATTAAGAGGATATTACAGGTGGTTGGGTTTTAGGATTCAAGGGTGGGAAGTTATGGATTGTGTGTGCTTCACAGAAATAACCAGGCTATCCTGGATAGTGCCTATAGTTCCACAGCGTGTCTGGCCAGCCGGGCGGTGCTGGATGGCAGCATGGTACGTGGGAACAGACCAGATCCTGACAACACTGTTGTAACCACATACAGAATTCATGTAGCTCATTGTTGGTCCCACAGAAGTCTTAGCAGTGGATTCATTCTTTACCAAGAATGGCTGAGAAGGGACAGAACTACCTAACCCCAATCTTAATGTAGTTTTATAGCAAACAAAAATTATAAACTTTTTGTATTGAAAGGTCAGTGGCAGTAAGACAAGGTATCTGGTAAATTAAGATTTTAAGATGCACATTAAAATGTTTTAAAATTGCTCTCTGGGAATTCTGTATACACACTAAAATTTTTATATCATTATGTTAATAAAAGCTATTGACTATTTGTAATTCTGCATTTTGAAATGTGTGAAAGGTTTTATAACTTATCCTAAATAGGATCTATTTTATGATGCATTCTTTCAGAATATAAAAACAACTATGCTTACAGCATAAAATCTAGAAAGCACATTGAAGTATAAAGAAGAAGAAAAGTAAAACTCCATGAACATTTCTCTGAGTAATAGTAATATTAATTACTATCAATAGTAATAGTAATGTCAGTACCTCTGATGTTAATACATTAATATTAACATCAATCTTTCAGGATCAATTTTTCCTTTTAAACATTTTTTATAGAATCGGGATGACATACCTATTTTATCACCTGCTTTTGTACTTAAGAGATAACAGATGTTTTGGCTGTTCTCTGTGCTCCTCGGGTCTGATGCCCGCATCCTGCAGGTGTGCCAGACGTACACCAGATGTGGCATTAACTCTGCACTGCACACGGGCTACTTCAGGGTACAGTGGAGGACCGCCACTCAGACACGCTGCCACTCCACACTTTTGGCTCTGCGTGGGCTCAGCTCTCACAGAGTGGGCATGGTGGTCACTCCAGGCCCGGAGCCCCAGCGCCCCTGCCTTCCAGAAGGATGGCCAGAGGTCACTTCCCAGCATTGCTGGCAGCAGGGTCACATGAGTCTGCTGCCACCAAGTGCACCCTTGCATGGGAGGGGCTCCTGTCAATTTCACTGTGGACCAACCTCTTCAGATTTGGCATCTTACTGCGCTCGAGTTTTTCTTATTGATTGGTGGAGACATTTCACATTAAGAATCATCCTTCTTATTTTCCCAAGTAGGTCGTTCTTGTCTTGATTGTACTTACTTTAGTTCAGATGGTGCTTTAACTGAGGTCAGTTGTGCTTTATTTCAGGCTGTGAACTAGCTGGCTCATCTCAAAAGTGCTGCTGCTGGAGTGGCCGGCAGAGCCATGGCACAGCATGTGCCAGAGGAGTGACTTACCTCCTGTTTGCTCAGGTCCCACCAAAGGGCCTGCCTCCCACCTTCCAGAATGCTCCAAAGGAAGTCATGAGGCCTGGTGTGTCTCTGACTCTCTGCAGTAAGTATACAGAAAGAGTAGGAAGACACATCACCCTCTGTCTGAAACCATTTTGCATAAGGTCTTACAGGATTAAGGGATTACCTTATTAAATTGGTTGCAGTAACAGTGTTACAGCATAGTGTAGCATTCATCTGCAGAGTAATGTTCAGTTTTAGTAGCAGAGAATTCCTTTAAAAGGTAAATATATGCAAAATTTCAAAACTTAACTCCTTACATTTTTGCTTCTTACTAAATAATGAGTGTTTAAAGATGAATGATCCCTAAAGTGTCTGTGCAGATGGCTGGAAGTTCAGCTGATCTGGAGCTGAAAACACATTAACCGAAATGGAAAGTTCACTAGAGAGATTCAGAGGCAGACTGAGGAGGTGGAAGAAACAATCCCTCGACTTGAAGCTAGGACAACAGAAATCATCAAGTCTGAGGGACAATAAGAGAGAAGACTGAGGGAGAGTGCAGGAAGCCTGCAGGACACGGCCTCCTTCCAGTGCACCAGCATGCACATTTGAAGAGGGGACAGAGAACAGCCAAAGGAACAGTGGCTGCAGACTTCCCAGGTTTGCTGAGAGACATGAATATGAGCATAAGAAGCTAAAGGAATGCAAGTAGGAACTCAGAGGAACCACACGGGTCACTGTGGTGGAGCTCTGAAAGCTAGAGGAGGAGCAGAGTCTTTGGGCAGCAGGAGGGCGTGGCTTGTCACATGCATGGGCTCTTCAGTGAGGCAGATTCTCATCAGAGGCCAGCAGGCTAAGGACTGATAGATCCCAAGGGCCAAATAAACAGATGAGGACAAGAAGACCTGCCCACCAAGAACCTCCGCAGCCAAGACAGAAGGGAACTGAGATGGCAGCGGGAGCTGGTTTCCAGGAGACCTGCCCACAGGAGGGTCTGGAGGCACTCTGAAGAGTGGTGTTAGAACACTGGGCAGGGACCGCGGTGGGCAGGTGCAGGGCACCTAGAGAAACTGGCCTTGTGACACTGGTCTATGATTCCAGAGACGAGTATCTTCAGACATCGCTGGTCTGAGAGCTGTAGTATTGCAACTTTGGTTCGTAATCCCACATGGTGTTTTCTACATAATTTAGGAGGCCAAAGCATTTCAAACAATTATTATTACATTTGGGGAGTACAGTGTGTAAAGATGTGATCTTGTGACATCATAGTGGAAAGGGCTGGGGACAGAGCTATTAGTGAAGCAGTTTTTTTAATGACACAGAGGTTAAGCTGGTAAAATGGAAGTCACATGTTAGAGTTTGTTTAATGTAATCCGTATGGTTACTACAGAGAAAAATATCTGTAGCATATACACAGAAGGAAATGAGAAAGGGATTTAAACATTTCATTACAAGAAATCAACTACACACAAAAGAGGACAGTAATGCAGGAAATGAGGCCCACAAAGCCGCATGGCATATACGGCTCACACAGCAAAAGGGCAGAAGATCCCCTGTCAGTGGTCGTGGCCACGTGGGTCAGAGTTTGGCATGATCCATCCACCTGTGTGTTTTCTCCAAGGGACACTTTTTAGATCGGGTAGATGGAGAGTGAGCGGGTGGAAGAAGATGTCCTGTGGGAATCTCAACCTGGAGAGCAGGGCAGCCATGCCGCCAGATGCAGAGGACGCTACCTGTTAATAAGAAGGTTCCTACAAGAACCTGCAATTGCTATTGACATTCACACCCGAGGCAGGACTCTCAGAATACCTGGGAGGAGAACCGATGGGACAGGCAGTTCTGTGACAGGGGACATCAGTGGCCCACACTGTGGATAGAGGCCCTGAGGAGATGAGGGGGATTGCTGTGCGTGACACCTGCATCAGCACCAGTAGGAAAGCGCGTGCTGAGGAAGGGAAGGTGCGGCGTGGCAGGAGGGTGCCTGCAGCCACCAGGTCTGTGCCGGGGCTGCCTCCCTCAGCAGGTATGTTCCCAGGACCCTGGGTGGCTCTGGGGTCTCTGCCCAGGAGCCCATCTCTTGGGCCTCTGGGGAAGCCTCATGTGGCAGGCAGAGCGGAGCCATTCTCCCTGTGTCCAGGATAAGACGGAGAGGAAGGCCTAGGCCAAGCCCCAGGGGCAGAATACGGCCCCCTAGGCCCCACTTCTCTCAGGTCCCTCTACCTCCCAGAGCATCATTCAGGGAAAGGCTTTGGGGACAGACATTCCCCGTCCACCTAAAACAACTACTATGAAAAAGTGAACATCAGAATAGAGAGCGTGGTTGGAGAGGACAGATCGGAGCCTTGTCCGCCAGTGGGAAGGTGCGACAGCCAGCTTCTGTCAGAGGAGGCCGTGGTCAGCTCAGGACTGATCACCATGCGGTCCAGGAACCAGACTGCACACTCCACAAGCTGAGGGCTGTGTCTCCAGGAACGTCTGTGCCTCCCACCCTCTGGGGCCTGGAGCTTTCCCACACCAGCCTCCTGTCCACCCCCATTGCTGCTCCTGCCCCTGACACTCCCATCCACATGCCTTGCATTGTCCAGAGCGCTTCCTGAGTTTGGTCTGCCCCAGCTGGAAGCCCCTCTGGTAGCCCCACTGCCCCTGTGGACCTTGGCCTGGTGTCCTTTCAGATGCCAGCCATGGCATTGAAAGTGTGAGTGCTTTGCAGCTAAAGGACCCAGGTGTCCTCCCTGGGCTGTAGCCCCTCTGGCTCTAAGAGTTGCCTGAGGCTGCTTGGTGGGGACTTCAGCATCCCTACCAGGGATGTGACCGCCTTGGAGGGTCTGCCCACATATGGTCAGTGCGGGAGTCCTGCCAGCATGGGAATTCAGGTTCTCCAGGAGAGCTGCCGAGTGCCAGCAGTCACCACAGCCACCACTTCCAGAAGGGTCCAAGTCGTGAGGGAGCTGCAGCACACCCAAGGCCACCATGTTGGTGACTTTCCAGGCCACGTTGAGAGCAGCAGACTCAGGAGCTCAGCCAGTTCCCTCGGCTTCATGGGACCCACTGCCCCAGTCTGACTTGCTGAGGGGGCAGCAGACATGCATGTTCTTCACTCCACCCCTGTCTTAATTACGACCTGTGACACTTGGCGCTTCACTCGTTGGCCCTGGGTTATGGAGGTTGTGAGGTGAGCGGTGCTGGTGAAGCCAGGCGGCGGCTGATGGCTGTGCCCTGTGGGGGCTGGGTCACAGCTGGTGGTGACGAGCCTGTGGATGCCATGGCTGGCATTTGAAAGGCACATGTGGTGTTTCTTACCAGCCTGTGCCCTAAGGTTCAGGTCCTGCCCTGGCACCAGCTCGGAGTGGAGTCGTTGGGCACCTGGGAGCAGGATGGAGCAGGCAGCCCAGCAGGCCCACCCAGCCTCCTGTCAGCCAGCCACAGAGGCCTGTGCTGAGGTCAGCAGGTGTCTGAGCTGGACCCAGAGCTGTTCCTCTCCCTCCTGACTGGTCCAAGGATGGGCCCATGACCACCCAGGCCAAAGTCTCTACAACTCTGTCCCTGGGGAGGCTGGAGAGGTTGAGTTGAAGTCCGGGAGGCCGGGAGGTTGGGGAAGGCTGGGGAAGACAGGGGAGCCTTGAGAGAGGCTGAGGAATATTCAGGGGAAGAGGCCAGAAAGGACAAGGAGACAAACACGCCAAAGGTTTGCTCTCCCTGCCGTGGGCAGTCCCACTTCTGGGACTTTAACTCCTCACGTCAGTCTGGCAGATAGTCCTTTTTTTAAAAAAAAAATTTTTTAGACATTGATGGCCCTTTATTTTATTCATTTATTTGTATGTGGTGCTGAGAATTGAACCCAGTGCCTCACACATGCTAGGCAAGCACTTTACCACTGAGCCACAGCCCCAGGCCCAGATAGTTTTTATTTCATATTTAATGGATATGGAGAACTGGACAGTGCACTATTATATTTAATGCAAATACAAGCAAGCAGTTGATTTATGAATTTCCAGACCTATTCCCTTAATAAAACAAAACAGGAAGTAGGGCAGGTGAGACTAATTTGAGTTTTCCTGAATTCATAACTTGAATTTAAAAGTTGGTGTATTTGAACACGCAGACATAAAAGCGAGTTCGGCCACCACGTCTCCTGACTAGACTTCACCAGGCAGAAAGCTGAGCTCCGGCAGAGCAGTCCAGTAGTGACCTCCACCAAGAGGCAGCATCCGGGGAGCCTGCCACCCACTGTGACACACAGCACCCCAACCCAGTGAGGCCTCTGGCTTTACAGACAGCAGAGGAGGTGGGAGAGGAGGCTTGCAGCACGCCTGGCTGGAATGGCCGAGCGGCCCTGACCTGGCCCACCTGTTCCTGCCACACACATGCCCACAGGGCCAGCAGTGTCACCCAGAAGGAGAATCCACCCCATGTGGAGTTTGAATCATCAGTCTGAGTGACGATGTCAGTACCGTTGGTTTATGAATCATTTTTTCCTGTTCTGCGTGGTCTTGCTCTAGTTTAGGCAGGAGGCATCCGACTGTGTGAGCCTTGGTGGGCACTGAGAGCCACAGATGCGAGGACGGGCAGCCTTTTCGTCCTTTCCCAGGTTCTAACTTACTGGAAGCCTGGGGCCACCTGGTGGGGCTGCAGCTGGCGTCTGTCCTCTTGAGTCGGGATCTGAGCAGCACTCACTCTGGCTGAGGGTGGACTCTCGTAAGGGATCATGTCCAGCAGTCCCTACACAGAGCCTAGTGCCGCAGAAGCAGCGGTGCGGCCACTGAGGACGGCGCTGGAGAGCTCGGCTCTCCACTGCGAGCAGGTCAGCCTTGCCCGCCAGCATGTGCCGCACAGCTCTGCCACCCCCTTGCGGACCTTCGTCCCTCGGGCACAGCTCTGCTGTCTCTCCTTCCTCCCTCACTGGTGCTCAGAGAACTCCTGGCAGACAGTGGTCACCATGGTGACGACGGCCGGGACCTCCTGGAAGTCGCACTCTCCTCTCTGTCTCCCTCGGTGTCTCCACGACTTTGTCCACGCCTCCTGCTCTTTGATTCCCAAGAGAGAAAAGAGAAGTTGCCCAACGTGTCTGTAAATGGACTATGATGAGAACCTGGAGGACGCGCCGTGCCTGCCGGGCTGCCCCTCGGCAGACGTGGGTATGTCTGGCCGCTTGTCCCAGGACCAGTGCTGCACGTGTGCGTGCGGCCACGTTGTCCCTGCCCAGGAGCTTGGCCTCAGGTCCCTGACCCTCCACCCGTACCCTTGGCCTGCCCCACTGCCATGGCCACCTGCACGTCCTCAGGTTTTCAGGGAGGTCCAGATGGGCTTCCAGAAGTGACCAAGCGTGGCTCAGAAGAGGACACGTGGTGGTGGTCATTGGAGGGCAGGCACACTGGGCCTGTGGGCAGGGCTCTCCTGCAAGAGGTGCGGGAGCGAGTCCTGGCGGAGCTCCTTGAGCTCCAGCTTCCTCAGCCTGTGCTCGTCCCCTCCCTTCCGGAGCACTGGTGGGTGAGCTGTCACCGCCTTCTCCAGCTCTGACAGGGGAGAGGCTGCCCAGACTCCCCCAGTCTGCCACCCTGCTTTCCCCTCCGCCTGCCTCCTCTCCCAGTCAGTGGGAAGTCTCAGCAGATGCAGGGAGGCAGGGCGTGGGTCCTGCCCTGGGGTGGCTCCCTGGCCTGCGGTGGCCAGCATGCCGCATGCCAGTGAGAGCAGGGAAGACAGAGGCACTGCCAGGGCACCCTGTGGCTTGCTGTGCAGAAGGGGTCCCTGTTCCCGTAGCGCAGCCCTCAGCCAAGGTCAGGAAGCATGTCCAGGAACACAAAGTGCAGGAACTTGTTTTGCTTTGAATTCGTGTATCAATTTCAGCCACTTGAAATAAAAACATGACTGGAAGTTTATTTTTGTGGTGAGGAACATAACAGAAGCAGATGTAGAATTTATCTGGGAAGATAGATGAGGTGGTGCACACCTATAATCCCAGTGGCTCTGGAGGCTGAGGCAGGAGGATCGCAGGTCCAAAGCCAGCCTCGGCAACTTAGGAAGACTCTGTCTCAAAATATAAAAAGGGCTGGGGATGTGGCTCAGTGGTTAATGGGTTCAATCCCTGGTACCAAAAAAATAAATCAGATAGAATTGTCAGTGTCTTGAAAAGTTATAACAAGAGTTCCTGATCTACTGAAGGCCACCCTATTTGGTAGTCACACTGCTGAACTAAGTAGAGAAATGTACAGACGCTGGCCTTGAGTTCTGACATAGATATGTACCTGCACACTGTCATGTTAAAATCAGTTCAGAGGTTTGATTCCTATGCTGAACGCGTCAGGGCTCAAGAGTCACTTGGAATGAGGTGTTCAGCAGGCTGGAGAGCTGGGAGAACCAGCAGGTGCACCGTCCAAGAGGCTGACGACCCAGAACAGGATGGACCAACGGTGCCTCCTGGAGGACCAAGGCAGAGTCAGCTTTGGAAGAGTGAAGAAGCAAGAACTCGATATCCTCAGACGATCGCAGCAGCAATCAAAAACCCGTTCAAAATGGAGCTTGCATCTGCTGCTGCTCCCTGGTTCTTCCAACTTTTATTCCATCCAAGCCATCATCCTATTGGTCAGTGCTGCCCATGCTTAGGGGGGATCTCCATTTCAGTTGGCTATCCCACACGCCAGTCATTCCTAGACACACCCTTATTGACACACCCATAATCCCTGACAACTCTTAATCCAATCTAGTTGACAATTCAGATTCGCTATTACTGTCGCCTCTTTCCCAAAGACCTGAGACCAAGACTCGTCAGCTCAGGGTGAGGGCACCTCACCATCATGCCGAGCAGCTGGGAAGTGAAAGAAGTGGACGTTTGAACCTATCTGGAGGACCTGGTTCATGTCCCAGGTGAGAAACCGAAGCAGAGCTTGACCAGCATTTCCCCATCGGAGACAGGGACCCATCAAGCCTCCTCCAGTGAGCCTGTCCCCAGATCTGAGATGCAGCAGCCAGGTGTCTCAGGGATCCAAAGAATGAGGCTGAGGGACAACAGGGGTAGAGCAGCAGAGTTGCTGTCTGTAAACGGCTTCCAGATAGGTGGCCTCTGAGCTGCTCTGTCCAGGGGTTTCTATAGAGCTGACCTTTAAACTATTGGTGATGACTTGGGGAGGGGAGCTTCTTCATGGTAAGCACGGCCCCCGTGCAGTCGGGGTGTTGGCCACAGGCCGCCTGGCCCGTTACACACTTTGCTTGCTGCCCGGTTGCAATCAAGGTCCTGCCCTCTGCCTCCAGGAGGAGCAGGGCTCAGTGCCTGAGATGTGGTGACCATCCCTGGCATTTTGTACTACATGCCATGGAAAAGCAGCACATTTAAATGGTTTGTGGGGATTTCAGATTCCACACGCATTATCTTTGCTTCTACCCTGAGGACAGCAGCTCAAAGTGGGACCAGGGCCAGCTGGGGCTATAAAGCCAGGCACTTGACCACTGTCAAGCCACGAATGCACCAGCAGTAGCCAGGCAGAGGCCTCTAGGGCTCTGTGGTGTTTCCATGCCTTCTCTGTGCTCTTGGGCCTTGACAGTGGCACGGAGGCTGCTCTGGGCAGGTCTGACGTGGACCACTGGTGCGTGGGACTCCAATTCCCTGGACGCAGCCCCTCCCTGGCCTCCCTCAGCCCGGGTCACAGTGAGAAGAGCTCTGGAGCCTGCTGTGTCCTTGCCCTGGCAGCACTCTGGGTCCCCAGGGCTGTCCTCTGGGCGTCACATGGCTGCCCGAGGTTGGGTGGGAGGTGGCAGGCCATTCTGTGTTACTTCTCCAGCAGTTGCTGATGGTGGGGTCATTGGCAACCTGGAAGGATTGGGCTTAGGAAGCTGGTAACGCGAGCTCTGGAGGGGTGTGTGGGGTCCACTCTGATGGCTCCTCTCCCTGCCTCTGGTGGCACGTGTGGCCTTCTGTTTGGTGCTTTTGCTGGTGCCTGGTGTTATCTCAGGATCCCCAGGCCTCTGTGCAGCCCAGGCTCTGGGTCTGGAGTCAGTGAGGTTGGTCCCCAGTGCCGCCCTGCCCTGATGGCCAACGAGGTCCAGCTCTGCTGTTCATACGTGCTGGCAGAAGACGTGGGGTTGGGGGCGGGGATGGCTCATGACACATCAGTAGCAGAGCTTCTTGATGGTGCTGGTCCCTGCCTGCTGCAGTCTGGCTGGGCACAAATGCCGCAGTCTGGCTGGGCACACAATCACGAGCCACCACACAGCTTGTAGATTCAAACAGCAACTCTTTATTCCCGAACTCACACCAGCCGTCTACAATCACGTTCTGGGGAAATCCACGTTCTCTTCCCAAATCCACCTCCACTGGGCTTCTATCTCCAAAATATATTGTCTGAATCCCGTGAGAACTCAAGGGGAACTCAGGCAGCAGGATACGCCCTATTCCCAGCAGGAATAATCTTAAACCTTAAACCTGGAACCTAAACTGGGAACGCCCTAAACAAGATTATCTTAAAACCGGGAACACCCTAATCTGCCTTGGTCCTTGAGCAAGGTCATGTACATTCAATGTCACTGCAACATGGGGTACGCTGGCAAGGAAATTGTCATACTTACTTGGCTAATGGCTCCCAGCACCTGCCCCTGAGCCCTGCTGCAGAGGTGCAGAGCCGTGTGACTACCTGTCCTGCTCCCCAAACACCTCTGCCAATGCCGCGCTGAGAACGGCTTGGGCAGGGAGCAGTGGGGCCTGGCACCAAGCAACCTCAGTGGCACCCCAGGCCCTGCAGATCCCCAGGCCAACGAGGGGCCTGTAGCTCAGGCTGGGGCCTGCTCTGCCTGGGCAGCGACTACCAGCCCCCTTGAGCCCTACCAGACCTTGAGAGGCTCCCCTGTAGGGTCCAGCTTTCCTGGTGTCCCTCACAGGCCTGGGGCACCCGCTGGACTACACGAGTCACCACGTGGGCTGGGGTTGTGACTCAGGGTAGAGCACGTGCCTAGCATGTTGAGGCAATGAGTTCGATTCTCAGCACTGTGTATGAATTATAAAGGAGCAGGGACCGGTGCCATCAACTAAAAGCAACTAAAAAATATGTTAAAAAAGTACAGAAATATTACTGAGTGGTTTCTGTCTCTTGGTTGGACAGACTGATACATTAATAACAAGAAAAAAGTTCTAGTGAAATCTTGTAACTTTTGTCTAAGTGATTTCTAAAATTCTATTTTTAAGACAGTATGTGGAAAGAGTGAGCTTGTGGGTGATGGGGAGACTCTCCTTCTGCTCGTGGGATGGATCTACGCTTCTTGCCAGCTCTCCTAGGAAGCGTTGTTCTCCGTAGTGCAGCGGGCCTCGGCGGTTCTCTGGTCTGAGTGGGGGTGTCCACTTTCTGTTGTTGATTCCGGGTCTGTTCCATCTGGCCGTCTGAGAGCAGGCCTGTGTGACTCTGTTCCCTTGCCCCTCGGGTGCGCCTGTTGACCTGGATGTTGGTCCGTCCTGGTGAGTGTCCGTGGGCGCTCAAGAGTGGGCTCTGCCCTCGTGGGATGGGGCAGCCGTAGCTGTCCATCGTACCCAGGGGACCCATGGTGCCGCTGGGCTGGACGTCCTGACCGCCCTGCCTGTGGGTCTGGGGTGGCTGAGAGCTGTGGCTGCCCCAGCGACTGTGGCGCGCCCTCTCACTGCAGGTCTGTGGGCTTCGCCGTGCACCATTGCCTTTCTGAGACATGCACCCCTGCACCAGGCAGCGCCTGTGACTTCCTCGTGACTTCCACGGCTCCAGCTGAGACCAGTGCCGCTCCTCCTGCCTCCTCTGTTCCCCAGTCTTCTCCGCTCGCTCCCTCGTGGGCGCCTCACTTGCCTTTGTCTCCGTCGCCTGTGAGGCTGGGGTGGAACCTAAAAGCCCTCTGCCGCTGAGCTGCACCTCTTCATGTGTTCTGAGCAGGGTCTTGCTGAGTTTCCCAGTCTGGCCTCAGACTCACAGTCCTCCTGCCTCTGCCTCCTCAGTAGCTGGGGTCACAGACGTGGCCACTGTGCCCAGCTACATCATACCTCTCATGGTTGCTCCGTGCTTCCTGGATTGTTCTGCTGTTATTTTTTCTCTTAGATTTTTAATTTCAGAGGGTTCTTTTCTCATGTTCTCACCTCACATTCTTAGCCATGAGCCTCCCAGGGAACCCATCCAAAGTGCTCATCAGCTCTGGGCAGTTTTGATCTCTAGCCTTCTTTCTGATCTTAGGATTTCTGTCTCTCTGCTTGCATTGTTCAGTTGTTCTCTCAGCATTCACTTTTTCCCATTAGATCCCATAACACATCGATCATAGCTTTTTAAAATTCCTGGTGTTATCATTCAACATTCTTGTCATATCTGACTCTGCTTCTGATGCTCATTTAGGCTCTTCAGACTATTTTTTCTTTGCTTTTTAATCTGCCTTGTAATTTTTGGTTGAAAGCGGAATATGATGTATTGGATAAAAGGAACTGCTGAAAATAGACCACTAGTGATTGTATTAGTCTGTTTTCTGTTGCTGTATCAAAATAATTGAGGCAGGCTACTTTTAAAGAAAAAAGGTTTGTTTAGCTAACAGTTTTGGAGGCCAAACATCCAAGTTCAGGTGGCCCTATCTGCTCTTATGAGGCTCCCTTGTCGTCATGGCAAGAGCAAGCATGATAAATAGGATCACAGAATCTGCCAGGAGACCAGGCAGACTCAGGGGCTCCTTTGGAACAACTGGCTCTTGCCAGGTGGGCTTTTGTCCCCTCTGCAGGTGATGCCCCTGTAAACTAATCCCGTCCTGTGAGGTCCCACCTCCTAAAGGTCCCTCCACCTCCCAGCACCTCCACCCTGAGGCCGAGCTTCTACACATGACCTCTGGGACGCGCACAGCTTGTGGAAACCCCGCAGTAGTGTGGAGGGCACCTGGCCCTGTGACCAGGCCTCGGTGCCGGGGAGCCTGCACCCTGACCGTGCATCTCCATGTGTTTCCCAGTCTCTCCCAGGGCAGTGCGGCTGCAGGGCTGAAGCCAAGTGCTCTCTGCCCACACGGAGGGCAGGGGCTGCTGAAATCAGGTTGGCCTGGCTCTGTCAGCAGGCCTGGGGTGGAGGGCCAGCTGGGGGGCCGTGTCACGGTGGCTCCTTTACTCCTGTCTGTGCTGGAGCGTGAGGGGGTCTTCCTCCCATGTTGTCCCCTGGAGCTAAACCTAGGGATGCCAGGTCCCTGCATAGGTCCCCAGAGTCCTCATTTCTCAGGCTTCTCCACCCTGGGCCTCCAGCAAGTGGCCAGTGCTGATGGACCTGCCCAGTGCCCACGCCTGGCCCAGGGCCTCCGCTCAGGTGAGTCCCGTGTCCCCATCCTGCCCCTCCAGCCTCGGGATGGCATTCCTCGCTTCCTGGTGGGTCTGAGAAGAGTGTGGGTCTTCAGGATGCAGGTCTTGATCATGGGGCTGGAGGGCGACACCCCGCCTGAAGTGCTGGGCCTGGAGCTAGACGTGGACGGCTGGTGTTGGAAACCTCCAACTAGAAAACAAGACATGGCAGAGCTGCCATCTACGAGCGGAAGGTGTGCCATTGCCCAGACCATTAGCAAGCCAGGGACACAGTGCCAGACAGGAGCCATGGTGTCCCCGGGGCCGAGACCAAAGGTATGGCTAGACTGACAGGGGCTCTGTTGTCTCTGTGGCGGGTGGTCACAGCACTGTGAGAGCTGACCTGGGTTTCCTCCTGGCGCTTTGGAGGTACTTGGGAGTGGGTGACGGAGGCCCAACCCCACTGTCTGGGCAGCCACACCCTTGATGCCAAAGGCACTGTCATGGAGAGACCTGGTGGGTCAACAGGCATCTGCTCTGGACATCGGGAGCCTCTGCTGCCACCTACCTCTCCAGTCATGGGGCTTCCTTCTCCCTCCGTGGCCCCGGTCTTCGGCTGCCAGCCTCTGCTTATTCAGGCAGCTGGTCCTACGCTGGCCGTGCTGCTTGGGGTGGGAGGGGGTTAGGAGGAAAGGCCTGGAGCAGCAACATTGTTCCCTCACACAAAGCACAGTGCCACCTGCCACCAAGCTGCTCACGAGGTTGGTGACAGTGGTCATGTCCACGAAGAGAGAGGAGGCTGGGTTCTGGGGACGTGGGAGGGAGACAAAGGCTTCCATGTGGTGAGGGTAGGGTTGATGCCAGGGGGCCACTGCTACTCTGCCCCAGAGGCCCAGGTGGCTCCTGGGGTCTCGGATCCCACTCAGCTCCTCCTGCTGCAGACAGAGCTCAGCCAGCCATCTGGGTCAGCCTCAGTAAGAGCTGAGTCTCAGGGTGGTTGGAGGAGCAAAGGGACATGTGCATGTAACTCGCAGGTGTGCACCACAAGACGTGACACACAGGCACACAGGTGTGCACCTCAAGACATGCATGCACATGTACCCAGGCACACACCACAAGATGTCACACACCACAAGATGTCACACACATACACAGGCTTGTACCACAAGACATGACACATGTACACAGGTGTACACCACAAGATGTGACCCACACATGTGTGTGTGCAACATAAGACATGCACACACACAGGCTTGCACCCTAAGACATGCACACACATGTACACAGGCGTGCACCACATGGCATCGTCGGAGATTAAAATGCACACACATAGATAGCAGTGATAAAGATGAAGCACTTTACCGCAAGCTGGTGCTAGTTTATATAGAAAGTGAGAGTCAGTTATCTTAAACCAGGAAGCTCCCGGGGCCAATCACAGTAAAGGTCAGGTCATCACCTACGGTGCACGCACGTCCGCCCTGCATAAGATTCATGGGGGGGCACCGACTGTCCACGAGTTCGGAAGATGGGAGGGCCAATTAGAAGGTTTTCAAAACAACTTGTTATCCGCCCACTGGCAACTTGCCCGCCGCCATGCTGCATTAGGGGCTCCTTATCTGAAAAGCCCGGGGAGTTCTAGCCGCCCACTGGCAATTCACCGCCATGTTTGAAAGGCCCGGGGAGTTCTCAGGGAGACTCCCAACAGTGTGCACACACAAACACAGGTGTGCACCACACAGCATGCACACACATGCACAGGCCTGCACCATGTCCTGTGCACAAGCACACTTGCACCTAGCTGACGTGTGGAATCACTAGGATCATTAACATTACAAAGGTTACGATTCTGATTTTTCTTTCAGAAGAACCTGCACAGTCAGGCAGGAGGCAAAGGAAGGCAGGAACAGAAGGACAGCCATCTTTCTGAGCCAAATGCATTGGGGTCCAGAAGTGCAGGCCGAACCCCTTGGCTCACTTAGGTGCCTGGAGCCCAGGGGGCCCCCAATTTGGCAAATGGTGACAGAACACAGAACGTCTGTGTGTCAGGGGTATCACATTTTGTTTTTGTTCCATCTCATTGAATCCCATGCTTCCACTTCATTCCAAAGCCGGTGTCCCTTCCATAAGAGCCAGTCCCCACAGCACCTGGAGCAGAAAGCAGGGCTGTTGGCTCTGAGTCCCTGGCAATGAGGGACCCAGCCTCAAACCCTGTCCTTTTGTTTTTGTTTTTGACTTTCTCTGTGAGGACTAGAGGTGGGAGCACTGCGCACACACACAGAGCCACCTCTGTGGGTTTGTCCTCAGGACCCCACTGGCCTCATGAGAGGAACCCCCAAGGGATCTGCAGGTGGCCTCTCAGACTCTGTGACATGGACCATGCTTTATGTAACTTTAAAGATTTTTAGAAACCTGTGGTAGAATCATGTCAGGTCTGAAGCAGAAAATGCACAGGGTGGTTCCTCTACTCAGTGGGACCCTTCTGCACAGGCCTCTCTGTCTTCATCCCTTCCCCAATGCCACACAGGGACTGCGGCTGACTCACCAGCTAGTGCCATCTATGCACCTGCATCACAGACAGCTGTAGAGCTGAGTCCTCTCCAACAGAACGCCCAGGGTCAGGACCAGGCCTCGGTCCTGGGGAGCCTGCACCCTGACCGTGCATCAAACCTGGAAACCTGGTCCTCGAGCTCACCGCCACACACGGTGAAGTCATCTGGAACACATGCTACCTGGAGGTGGAACGTTCCCATGGGTGTAGAGCACCTACTGGTTAGAACTGGAAGGTACTCAGATAAGATCATAGCAAGAACTGGGGGATTAATATTTAAAGTAACCTCCATAATAAAATCGAACAAGTTGGTAAAAACCTTGTAACCTGCATTAAGTTTATCTTTTAAAATATATCACCTGTTGTTACACTTCTAAATGTGTCTGTATACCAACTTAACCAGCACATGTTCTGAACATGCTGGAATGGTTTTTTAGAACCTTTAGCAGGATTCTTGCAATGTGACCCAGAATCCAGCCCAATGGGAGCTCAGCTCAGTGCCTCCTGGCTGTAGACCCCCTGCTCCAGCTGGGGCCTGGGACAAGGGCAGTGTTTTGGTAATCACAGCTTTAGAACAAACCTCAGGTGCCCAGGATGCCACAGCTTGCACCCCCGTGTGGAATCCGCTATGAGGCGGGGCCTCCTGCTCACCCAATGCCTGTGGGCTGGCTCTGCCCCAGCCTGAGCTGGCCAGGGGGTGGCCTACAGCCACAGGGCTGCAGCCTCAAATCCTAAACTTAAATCATACCCATACTCTTGCAGGGACAGAATTTGCAACTTGTGACAACACTCTACCTGCAGGCAACTCAGGTGTCCCATGTTGCTTCACTGGGCAGAGAGCCCTTGCCCCCTCCTTTGTGGCAGCAGTCCCAACCACTCCAGGTGCTCAGTGGCCCCAGGACTGCTTAGGGGGACAGAGTTGTAGGTCCTTGAGGCAGAGGGTCCCTGCTAGTGGCTGGATATGCACAGTCTTGGGCTCAGCATCATTCGTGGGGACATTGCTTGGGTCAGAGATCCAGAGTGTCCCCAAAGCTACAAAGCACTTACATGACAAGTTACCCAGAAAGGGTCATGGTTGGGTGGATCCCAACCAGGAGAAGAAGCTCAGCAGGTATTCCGAGGCTCAGCCAGTCTAGGAAATGGGCATTTGTCTAAGTATGGGGAAAGTGGCTCAGTGTCTCCATTACTTTGTGGTGTGTTACAGCCGAGATCTGAGTCTGGGCAGCCTTTGGTCAAGTCCATGCTCTGTAGCATGCAGAAATGCCTGCTCTTCAGAGAAGCGGGAGAAGGTTTTCTACGACATTTTGGCAATAGTTCTCTTTGTAAATCCAATGTATTTTTTAATAAGTCATTTAGGAAAGATAGAAGTGATTTAAGGAACGCGGGTGCCATGGTTTGTCATGTTTTGGAAACTTACCCCAACCAGCAGGGCTGACCGTGGACCTAAGGACACGGCTCTGCCTGTGCAGTAACGAGCACAGGTGCAGGTGGAGGGTCAGTGGCAGTGGGCGTGGGCGTGGGTGTGGGTGTGTTCATCTCTGGTTCCTTCTCCTGCATGTCAGTGCAGCAGTGACGCCCTGGCCAGAGGCAGCCCCGCCATCTCACCTGCCTCCAGCACCACGAGCCAAATCAGCCTCCACTGCTTATAAATCACCCAGATTGTGTTCTGATAGAGCAGCCAGAAGTGCACTAGGACACTGCACCTACATTTAATTCCTCAATTATTTTTCTAAGAGCATTTCTAAGAGCTAGTAGGAAGAGTTCTGCATGCATATTTGAATCACTGACTTTCTTCAGATTAAAAAGTCAACTGTAAACCCTGCACTTAAGAAGTTTTATGTTTCTACCCATGACTGCCAAAGGCAATTGAAGGACTTTGAGAAGCGGCCAGAACTCCATCACCAATGACTTCACATCCTCTGCGCCTCCCATGCAGGGGAGACCTTCCTCACATGACAGAAGAATCCAGTTGCTGCTATGGCAAGTACTGCAAAATGTACAGCTGAAGAAACACACTTTCTTTGAGCCCAGGAGTTCTCCAGGTAAGGATTTGGGCCAGTGTTTTTCTCCACTGAGGTCACTTGTGGTTTTCAGTTGGCGCTGGAGTTGGTCTGGGGACCATATGGCTGGACTTCCCTGTCCGGTCCTTGGTGGGGAAGGCAGGTCCTCTGCAGGAAGACTTCTTTCAGGGGAGCTGCCTCAGAGGTCATGCTGGCCCACTCATCATCTCCTGGTTACAGACAGGCCATGAGGCCAACTGCAATGGAAAGGACAGGACTAGAAGCCACCTCTTGCTGGAGCGGTGCAACACACTGGGTGGGAGACCTGTTGTGAAAATACAGTCTACTCTGTGGCCTCACTCCACACACTTGGCCAAGACCCCGGGGCCTTGCCCCTTCAGCATCCCACTCCAGGACCTGTCAGGATCCTGCATGATGAAGCACTTTGCGTAGTTCCTCAGGATTAGCGGCTCAGGGACATTTCCTTCTCAGCCCAAAGAGTTGGGACCTAGAGAGCCAGGGCCCTGACTCCCAGTGGTGGGACAGGGACCAGGTGCCACAGTAGACAGGCCCACCTGAAGGGGTACCGTGAAAGGCATGAAGTGTGCACTGTCCACAACAATCCTGAGATCCAGCCCAACGCAGGGACACACTGCTCCCGATGGCCCCCATGGCTGCAATTCTGGCTTTGGGCCTTGACCCCGCCCGCTTTGAGTCAGAGGCTTCTATTGCATTACTTTGGGCTTGTTTAATCCACACTAGTGTTGACTCTGATGGTATCATTCTCCTGATAACTTGCAGCTTTCCATGAATGTTATGGATGTTCACCCAGTTGGACAAATCCAATCGGGGGTGAGTACCAGGGATTGAATTCAGACGCACTCAACCACTGAGCCACATCTTCAGTCCTATTTTGTATTTTCTTTAGAGACAGTGTCTCACTGAGTTGCTTAGCACCTCACTTTTCCTAAGGCTGGTTTGAACTCGCAATCCTCCTGCCTCAGCCTCCCGAGCTGCTGGGATTACAGGTGTGCACCACCGTGCCTGGCTCTGATTATCTTTTAAACAGGCTCTTTCCTATTTTGGGCTCCTTTTGAGAGAGTGTTGTGAAGCAATGCTCTTAAGATTCTTGGAAGGGCTGATTAATGAGGGCCTGAGAAGACCTTCACAGAGGCCTTTGCTCACTGAAAGGAGCAATTCAAATCTGAACACAGGAGGTTTACAGCCCGAGCCTATTTTACAGACAGGTCTTCCTGACAGTGTCCTGGATTCCATCTTTGCCGTGAGCCCTTTTCTTTAAGAATCTTCTGCTGGGAGAACCTGGTGGTGCAGGATTCAAGAGTATGAGAATGGAAACCCAGGCCTAAAATCCTAAACTTAAATCGTACCCAATGACTTTTGCCACTTCTCTAGGTTAAAGCACACCCTCTGGCCACCCTAGACTCGAGGGTCCTGCCCTTGCCGTAGGTAACTGGAGTGGGATGGCCTTTGCAATCTCCCAAGGTTGGCCCGTTGGCCACAAAACATTTACATTGTTCAACCTTGTTCACCCTCTGGTAGGACCCCCTGAGTCTCGCCCATACCTGGTTCAAACCAGGCCTGGCAGCAACTGAGGCTCCTTGGTAGCATCTCTTCTTGTTCCAGAGATTTGGGAGCTGATATAATATAACACACTGTGCCCCTCCACACCCCCTGGAAAGACACCAGGAAAGCACAAGCAGTGCTGCCACTCAAAATGGGGAGGAACAAGTGCAAGGAAGTCGAAGATTCGAAATCTGTGGGGCAAACACTCTTGAATTCCTCAGCCTCAATGCAAGAAAACTCTGGTTCAAGCCCAGCTCCACTCCAAAGGGCTCTGGATCCATTGTTGTTTGCTGCCCCCAGGAACCCATCTTGCCGGAGACCACCTTCCATCCCAAGAGAGGCCTCTGCGTTTGCAGCAGGCAGATTTCCCAGCATTCCTGCCCGCAGGAGGGTGCAGGGTCACAAGAGTCCCCTGTTCAATTTCAGCTGTCTCAGTGTAGTAGCAGCAGGGGAGTGCTCTTGCCAGTATGCATTTCTTAATGACGTTCCTGAGCAGTGCCCCACTGTAGAAAGAGACCACTGTCTGTGGATGGGCCATGATCTTAAAGTAGGACAGAAGAGACTGGACACCTGAGGAATTTTTCAGGAAGTAGGTTTATTGACTGCAGGGTTCAGAGGTGGCTCTCACCTAAGAATTCATCCTCTGAACATGAGTACAGAAATTCTTTGAACTTATTGGTGGGGGCTAGGAGGTTCATATGACAAGCGCATTCCCTTCCATCCTCTACAGGGGTTTCACGAGTTTTTCCTGCAAACCTGGCATTTATAAATAAAGAGGAAGCTACAAAACACAGTGCCTTCTGCAGATTGTTGCCGATAGCCGATGTCCTATGCAAAAAGCTCTCTGATAAGAAGACCAACTTATATACCACAAATATGGTGAGGGTTTCTGCTTAATTATGGTAAGGGTCTTCTGGGTGGGGGGTCTCTGGCCTGCTTCAGTCTGTGTGTGGATAAGCCACAACTTGTGCCCATGTTCCTATTGATTGACACACAAATATCATCAGCCTTTTGCTATTATAACTAAAATTCCCATGAACATCCTCAGACAAGGCTGCTTTGGATGTACGTTTTCATTTCTCTTGGACAAATACCTTGGGATTTCTTTTTCTGGGCCATTATGCCCCCACAATCATCCGTTGAAGCCAAGGTGAACTGAGGTCTTAAGGAGGTAAACGAGGTTCAATTAGGTCATGAGAAGGACTAGCCAACAGCACTGAGACTGAGAAAATGTCTGTTTAGGTCACCCAGTCCGTGGCACGTGGTTTCTGCAGTCCCAGAAGACTGGCTGTTGAAGGAATAGGGTTTCCTAAGGTCGTAGACTGAGGTGGTTTCCTGCTGGTGGCTGGCTGTCGACCTCAAGAGTACCTAGGGGTCCTTGCCATGGGGTTGCTCCCCTCGTGGCCACTGGTTTTTATCAAAGCCGACAAAAGACTCACGTAACATGGACCCTGGGGCCGCGTCTTGTCCCTACCCACCCCCCACCCCCCACCCCCAGGCCTCTCCCTATCCCAGCAGGAACCCCACGCCGCTCTCTATCCCGACCCCCCACCAGGACTCCCAGGGCCGGCTGCCTATCCTCATCCCCAGCAGGACGCCACCCCGACCTCCCCGTGAGCCGACCTCGAGCGTAACGCGTGGGCAAAGCTGCCAGGCACGCCCGCTCGGAGCCTCGGGCCCTGGGCGGGGCCTCCTTCACGGCTTCTGTGTACTGCGCCTGCGCGGGCCCTGGGCAGCTGTTCCGCTTCCGGGACTGCGGGAAAACCTACGGACTGCGCCTGCGCGGGAGGCTGGGACCTGGGCGGGTCCAGCTTTGGGGACGGCGCGCGCGTACTGCGTCTGCGCGAGTCGAGGGCGGCGGCCCAGGCTTCTGGTTCTGGTAGGGATCGTCTGCCCCTCTGCGGTGTAGGCGCAGAACTCAGCGGAGAAACGCGGCCGAGGTAGGTTTTCAGATGGGCAGCTCAGGCACCTGGTCGCAGGCACGGCAGGACCTAGTAGGTGAGCGATCCTCGTCGTGCGAGTACGTCGCTGGTGGACCGAGGCTGCCGCCCGCTTCCGGAACCCCGCGGTCTGCACCGTGCGCTGGCGGCTGACCGCTAGCTGGGGCCCCCCCCCCTCGCCCCCATTCAGCCACACCCCTTTCCACGTGCCCCACCTCCCGGGCCAGCGCCCCCAGACCACGCCCGCCCCCGTGTCCCGCCTTTATGGGCCACGCCCATCTCCTAGCGCCACTTTTCTTTCCAATGGCTTGGCCTTTCTTCCCATCCCCAATCCTTCGAGGGCCATGCCCCTCCAACGCCACACCCTCAGGGCCACACCCTTCTCAGTGCTACGCCCTCTGGGCATACCCACCCCAGTGCTCTCGCACCTGGCCAGAGTCTTCTCAATCCTCCCCACATCCCTATAGGGACACACCCACCCCAATGCCTGGCCCTGAAGACTCATCTTTCCCACCGCTACATCCTCCAGGGCCATGCCTACCCAGCACCAGGCCCTCCAGGGCCACGCCCTTCCCAGCACCACACCCTCCAAGGCATGCCCACCCAGCACCACACCCTCCAAGGCATGCCCACCCAAAACAAGGCCCTCCAGGACCACGCCCTCCCCGGCACCACACCCTCCAAGGCATGCCCACCCAGCACCATACCCTCCAGGGCCACGCCCTCCCTGGCACCACACCCTCCAAGGCATGCCCACCCAGCACCATACCCTCCAGGGCCACGCCCTCCCCGGCACCACACCCTCCAAGGCATGCCCACCCAGCACCAGGCCCTCCAGGGCCACGCCCTCCCTGGCACCACACCCTCCAAGGCATGCCCACCCAGCACCAGGCCCTCCAGGGCCACGCCCTCCCTGGCACCACACCCTCCAAGGCATGCCCACCCAGCACCAGGCCCTCCAGGGCCACGCCCTTCCCAGCACCACACCCTCCAAGGCATGCCCACCCAGCACCAGGCCCTCCAGGGCCACGCCCTCCCTGGCACCACACCCTCCAAGGCATGCCCACCCAGCACCAGGCCCTCCAGGGCCACGCCCTTCCCAGCACCACACCCTCCAAGGCATGCCCACCCAGCACCAGGCCCTCCAGGGCCACGCCCTCCCCGGCACCACACCCTCCAAGGCATGCCCACCCAGCACCAGGCCCTCCAGGGCCACGCCCTTCCCAGCACCACACTTTCCAATGCATGCCCACCCAACATCAGGCCCTCCAGGGCCACCCTCTCTGAGGGCATGTCATCCAGTCCACGCCTATTCTGGGCGCTCCGCCCTCCTCCACCTGGCCCAAGTGTTTCTTCTCCTCAACCCTCCTTCCTGGCAGCCACCGCCTTCCAACTTGGCCCAGGTTTTCCTCTGGAAATGTAAATTAATGAGTGTTTGTAATTACAAATCTCACAAAAATAAGTTAAGTGAAGCTGCCTTTTAAATGAGTCAGTCCTTGGGGCGTGGGCCATGCTGGCAGGTGCAGGGACCCCCGGGAAGCCAGTGGCCTCTGTCAGTTCTAGTCATCAGGGAAGCGCAGGTACTGACAGGTTCCCAAAAGGTACTCCCTGGCAGCCCTGTGAGAACTCGCGCTCTGGAGTGTCCGGTGTCCTGCTTTAGCTGTCTCTGAGGGGTTGTGATGGATCCTTTTCTGTGCCAGCTTCACCTGGGCATGTTGTACTTTCTCTTTGGAGTACCTTGTTGTGGGCCATGCCGCTAACAGGCTCTTGTGTTTCTTTATTTAAAAGTAGGAGTGCAGGGACTATGAAGTGACGAAGCAGCAGTTATGCGGCTGAGCCTAGGAGAGCTATGGCAACCCCAGGCGACTGCCCCAGGCATGAATTGGAGGTAACTTCTGTTCTGATTGGTGGGAGTGTGTTTGTGACCAGTGTGCACACTGTTGAGGACCCGACCAGGCCCTGTGTGAGAACCCACCTTGTCCCTTGAAGGTCCAGACAGGAAATGCAGGGCTGGTAAGCCCACAGACCATCTTCTAGGGAGACACTCAGGATGCCCCAAGATCACAGTCACCCAGGTCCCTGGCCGGTGCCCCAGATGGCTCTGGGCTGCTCATGCAGTGCCAGGCCTAGGCCCTGGCTCCATGCATTGGAGAGGACTCCTGTTGGCCTGGGGTTCATGTAGACTTTATTCAAGTTAGTGGTGAGAAATGTCACCTTAAATGTTAAGGAATGTTGACTATGTTCAAGTAAACAGGTGGATACTCTAATAAACAGTGCTTCAAAAAAATTAAACATTTCTATGTTTGATGTCAATGGTAGCATTTTTCTTTTATTCTAATGATCTACCTTTTCCCTCATTGTTCTACTTTCATTGGGCTTCTATATATAGAGATTTCATGTAGAATTGGCATATTTGATTAATCTTATTTCTTTTAGCTAATCATCAAATGTTTTAATTCCATGGACAGCCTATTTTTCTTTTGGGGAATTTTAATATTGGGACATTTAGAGAATGATACTGCAAACAAGAACACATTTATGTAGAATTGAAAGCTTAATGTTTTGTTACATTAATATTTGCCTCAGAACTCACACACATAAAGTAACAATCCCAGAGTTAAAAGTCCCTTTCCCAGACCAGTCCTTGTCCTCTTCCTCTTTCTCGGAGGTGAATTATGCTTGATGTCGTGGTTTGCACCACTTCTTACCGTATGCCTTGCAGACATTTGAACAGTGCATGATATTTGTGTGTGCTTTATAAAGTTTAAATGAGAGGTGTCCATTCTGTGTCCCTGTTGTTGAGGTAGCACCACTGTGGAGGACTTGTCCCCTGGATGGTGTGCAGCTGGCTCAGTCCTGCTGCCTGGGCCTCACCTGAAGCATCGTGTGCACAGGTGTCTGTGGGGTGGAGGGTGTGCACCTGTGGTGTCTGCTGCCCTCCTTACGAGCTTCCAGTTTTCTTCACAGTGATGTGGGGAGTCCCTGGCTCTGCTCCTGTGCCTCCTGCCAGGCAGCTGTGGTTGGTGGGGATCAGTCTAGGCTTTCCAGGGCCCATAGCATCAGCCTCTTTGAAAACAAAGCCAGTTAGCTCTTCTTTGTGTCCACTATTCTATCGGTCACTGAAGGAGACGTGTTGAAGGAGGGCGCCACCATGGCTGAAAACGTGTCTGTTTCTCCTATCGGTTGTGCCACTCTGTCCCTGTACTGGATCCCTGTTGGTGGATATGTGGCTTTAGGATAGATTAGGTGGCCTTTGATTTTTCTGATGAAATCTCTTTTCACTGTTGCTGAATACCTGGGCCCCATGATGCTTTTCCCCCTGTTGGTGTGGCTGGACGGCATTCCTGCAAGGGTGGCCTGGGGGGTGTGCGCGTGCCTTTGCAGAGCTAACTCCTCAGTGGTCTTAGGTCCTCAGAGTAAAGTGTTTCCCTGGCAAAGAGCTGTTCAGGTCTTTTTTTCCTGTTAGACAGTTTCTGCCCTTTAACTGCAGCCTTGTCGGCTTTGACATTTAGTGTAATGACTGATGGGATCCAGCCTAACATCTTTCTGTTTGTTTCTTAGTTATCACGTTCCTTCTTGGTACATTTTTGCAGTCCTGCTCCTTCTTGGACCAGTTCCTCCTCTTTCCCTTATTGGCCCGTCACCTGGACGTTTCCTGTTGTTTAATGGCTTCCCAGGAATCGGTGACATGGAATCCTGTAACTGTTCTCATCTTTCCCACTTCGCAGGAGAGAATCTCAGAGTCCCATTCCCACCCGCACATTTCTGTCCTGTTGTAGAGACCTGTGTCACTTGTGGCTGTCCTCAGCCCTAGCACAGATGCCTGCTGCCTGGTGCAGCCGAGCCTTTCCTG